ATTTGTGGCAATAATTCTCACCTCGTAGTGCCCGGGCTTTAAATTTTTCACATTAATCACATTTAAATTGCTCTCCATTTGAGTGCTGAGCCAATCATTAGAGCCTTTGAGACGATAGTTAACACCAAATGAATTGGCATTTGCAGTGATTTTATCAAAATTAACGCAAATTTGATTGTTGTTAATGTTGTCGTCTCCACGAATCGCTTTCACCGCAAAGTTATTTATATTAACGATATTTATATTTAAATTCAATTTTTTTGAATTAAAAATCTCGTTTTGCCTTTTCTTCATTTTTCTCGTCACATAAATCACAAAACAATGAGTGAATTGAATGAATGAATTGAATATATGATTCAAGTGTTCACATGAGACACACAATACAATTATTATCTCTCGACACAAAAACACAATACAATTGTAATTTATTGAACAGATATCACACAAATAGCTTTGTATCGCAATTAAACACCAATTTCTTCAGTCGTTGTCTCTCTGTATCCGAAGCTTAACTAACTTTAAATGCAATGAAAGGCAAAATATAAATGAGTTCTAAATAATATAGAAATTTATTATGAATTTAATTTCAAATAATTTTCAAATAATTACATTTCAAGAACACAGCCGTTGGCTATAAAACAAACTTTTTTCACATTAAATGCTCTCTTTTAGTAGACTTGAAATTCATTTAAAATCTATAGTTATTTATATAATATAACGACTTTTCTATTGCGAAAATACAAAACTCAAAATAAACCTAAAACTTAAAGATTTGGACTGTTTTTGACACCGAATCAGTCATAGAATATGTTTATATAACAGCAAATCCTTCGTATAATAACAGCTCATTCGCAGCTCTTATTGAAACTAAAAGTAGTTTTTCGTTTACAAATCTCTCTCTCTCTCTCTCTCTCTCTCTCTCTCATAATCTTGATCATAATCGGTTAGACCGAAGAAGAAGATTGTCTCACAAACTGTACTGAATGTGGCCAACGATTTGACCGACTCTATCATCGCTGAAGTGTATTTCAATCTCTCTCGTTTGCCTTTACATAATACAGAATTTACTGTGTGTTCAGTTATGAATTTAGTAAATAGTTTTACAGGCATTTACACGAAATTATATGTAAATATACAGTATATTCTCACAACTAATCCAATAATAATTTATAGTTTACGATACACTCTATTAACTACATTCCCGTTATGTCGCGATTCGCTTCATACCATTTTTCCAACTCATAAAAACAAAAGCTATTGTCTGATTACATCAAAGTTGTAATGAATGGCATTTATGATTGTAAATGTATTAAATATACGAATATATGAATTATAGTATTTGTTTAATTGATATGAAATATTGTATTCATTTTATGTTTTGATGATAAAAAATTAATCCACAAATGCATTCATGTAACAAATGTAAGACATGTATGAAAAGTATGTGAAGAGATATTTAAGTCTATATTCTGTTATTTTAGTGAGTTTTTGGATTGCATTCAACTTTTACTTCTATTTGTTTTTTGTGTGTCTTCTTAATGAAAAGTGATTAAACTTGTCGTCGAATACAACTAATGTTAAGATGAAAATCATTTAAATGAATATTTAATGTCTTTTTTAGTGTCAACTCAACATTACTTTAATACTGATATTAAATATGACATCTTATTTATAATCCTTGATTTAATGACAAATATAGGCCTAAATATATCAGTCTATTATTGTTTTGACAAATTAAAATATAATATTTTATTAAATGTTGAGATTCTTAATAAATGTAAGATAAATACAGAGTTACAGCAGAAAATAATTTATGAAAATTAAATTCAAATATAAACTTGTTTTGCAATAAATGAAATGAAAGGTCAGATTAGTATGACATCAATGGAAGAGAGGATACAACAAGAAAAATAGGTCTCTCTCTCTCTCTCTCTCTCTCTCTCTGTCATAATCTTGATCATCGATTTTAGTTTAGAAATGCAATCAGTGTTTTTGATGTACAAAATAATCGATTAAATCAGTTTTAACACATTTTCTGATCGATTAATGAAAGTTCATTTTTATTGTATTTTATAAAAGCATTGACACAAACATCACTCCCAATGTAAAGCATATCAAATATTGTAAATTATGTTTGTTTTATACAATTAGATATTAAATGAGTAGAAATTTTAAGCGTAAAATAAGCGTTAATTAATTGTTAAAAAAACCGACCTTCATGTCCAGCCCGACCAATGCATACCTGGGCCTCAGTTGTTGCACAATATATTGTATGAAGTGTTTGTATCAATCAGTTATTAAGCACTTAATGGTTATAATATGCTAATAGTATTGGCATTTAACACAACATTTTATGTTTCACAAGATATGCAACATTTTTATATATATTTTGTGTGTTTTTTCATTATTTTATACAATATATTAAGAGCCAAAATAGACAACAATTTTTTACCCAAACACTTAATTACAGCAAAATTAAACAAGATTTTCCTCAATACTTATACAGCAACCTTAATGCAAATAAACAGTATAATTAATTGATAAATTATCATGCTATAACTTTTAAAGAATGTTTAAAATGTTGGTTAAATTATAGATGTAAATATAATTATAAATAGTTTTCCAAAAAACAAATTGTTTGCTTTTATTCAATTGGATTCAATTGTCTCAACTTTTGCTGAATTATTCAATTGATATAATAATTAAATATAATATAAATAAATAATTGCAAAAATGCAAAAATAATAATTTTGATAACTTGTTATCTGAAAGTAAAACTGAAAATAATAACCCTTTAATGTTTAATCCATAATATCTTATCAAAATGTTGTATAAAATTGTGCATTTTTAATGAATTTCATGCGACTTATGACTGCATATAAATCATTAAATCAAACATAAATCCAATAAATTATGTATACATACCGTAATTACGAGAGCTTTAAATCAAACAGAAATTTAGCAAATTCTTAATAAAATTGGTAATAATCTAATAAAATCTACTTTCATGACTGATTTCATAATATTGTTGGCAAACGAGAGACCCATATAATCAATATATGTGTATAATTCGTGAACAGAAAAGGTTGGTCTCAAACACATGAATATTTAATAAACACATAATATTTTTCAGGTAAAGTAAACACACAATGCATTTAAATAATGTTTGAGTTCATCACAGCATCACTATTAATAAAGCGTTAAATATTTGCATTCGAGACAAATAAAAGTTTTATTTATTCATTTGTTATATTCATCTATTAATTCGTCCCTTTTTTCGTGTGTTATTCAAATCACACAAACATTGCATTCATTTATAATTAATAAAATATAAATGATATTCAAATCGTTCGCTATTTCAATGTGTTAATCACTTTATCGCTATATTCTTAAAACAATTGACAAAAAAGTCTTAATATAAAAGTATTTTGAATGAAACAAAAGTTAGTAATAATTACGTAAATGACAAGAGAGTGGCACTCGGTTTGTGAGATATCAACCATCGCTTATCGCCTTATCGTTTGTCGCGTTTGAAGAGTTGTCGCAAACAATTGGTGGCAAAAGTGATAACAGCCAAGACATCATTCGTTAAGATATGAAACCAACAAAAAGTATGAGTAAATGTATTGATAAAATCAGAAGGAAATCTACATTTTTGTCGATTTAATTCACTTAAATATCAAGTGTTTCTCAAACACAGATTTAGACGTTATTAAGAAAATGTAATTTTATTATTCATAGATTAAGTCTTTAGATTACAGTTGAATAAGAGTTACGCACAAATCCTGTGCCACTCCAGGCTTAATCCTTAATCCAGACAAATCACGTTGAAATGAACGTAATGCTTTTTACCATGGTGACTTTGAATTAATAAAACATTAAGTTATAATTCAACAAATATTAGAAATACATTTAATGCAAAGATATTGAGAAACATTTGAAACGACAGGAATCGTATAAATCCTTCATTAAAATACAATCATTATATAAAACACTTAAACCATTAAAACAAATGCTTTTTTATTTCTCAATTAATTAAAATAATCGCTAAATATATGACGAAATATACGCTTATATTTACAACACTTTACATACTATTCATATTCAATACAATTCTGTCATATCATCTAAACTCTGGTCTCAAATATCGATAAACTTTTTTCCTTCATTTTCGCTACGAATTGATCAAAACTTTTTTGTTTAAACAATTTTTGAAGAGTTGAGTGAAGAGTCGACAGAAAAGGACGAGAGAAACACAACATATGATTGCTGTGTATATTAACAGTCGATTCAATGCATTGCAGAATAACTCACAGAATATTCTTTGCAGTAATTTTTAAGGAATAATCGATTCGTTGCCTCAAAGGAGGCGTACATTGCATTCACAGTACACTCGCATTGAATTGCTTGTAGACAAACGCATATCGATGTAAAGCGCAAAACGTCTACAAAAAGTGGTCGACATATTGAGCGTTACGTTGAATGCGATGAGTCGTCGATTGCATTGAAAGCAAAACAAATAAAACAAACATTTGTTTTGGTATTGATTTCAACGTTTGATTTGATTGTCGACTAAATTATGGACACATTTGCCGTAAAATGCGATCACAAGACGAGAAAGTGATGCTTTCAAACAGCGGTCAATCAGTGGACAACTACTCATCATTTGACAGCTTAAGACATAAACAGTCATCCGATGAGGACATGATCGACATTAAGAGCGCTTCCGACCTCGAGGTCAACAATACGGTTGACATGAAAGGTATTCCTCCGCAGTGTTTGTAATGTTACCACCGATTGTCTCATTTCACTGTCATTAACGCTCACTTCTCTTTGATTTGTTTTGATTTGATTTAACGATTATTTAATGTCATGTATTTTTAACACACGTTTTATTGAATGGTTTTTCTAAATCAATGCAAATGTTGTCTCAATTTGTTTGAATCGTTAACTCAATCATCGTTTCAATCATTAATTCATTTATAATTAACGACTAATTAATTGAAATATTGACACAAAAAGTCCAATCATTTCATTGATTGATAAATTGTTGCCAAATATTAATACAATTAACAAATGAATGTCTATTTGGAGACACGATTGGACGCCAATCGACGGCTTTAATGAGTCGTTTGTCTAATTGTTTTTAACGCTGGACTCAATGACAGCCAAAATACTGATTAAATAAACTAATTATACAATAATGTAATGATTGGTGTCTTCTCTCTAATAGGCTTTAGTGCCGCATGTCTTACAAGTAATGCCACAAACCTTTTGATACAATTAGACAATAATGAGACCAATCATGAAAGCAATGAATATAATGACAATGCATTTACAAGGAGTGGCACTAACAATGACTTCCGCTCGACATCCAGTCCATCGACCACTTCTTCGTCGGCCAATGAGTTCACAGAATTCGATAGATTTATTAAATACACAAATAATCCTAATTCGAGTCCCACTCGAGGTCTGTGTCCACCCAATCAACGCATCCATAAACCGCTTCCAATTGTTTTTCTCTAAATTCAATTTTCAATCGCAAAACTACTTTCTATCTTATAATCGTTACATTATTTATTCTTTAACTCCTAAACCATTCCTCTCACTCTCACTCACGCATACCTTTCTTTCTAATCCTTAAATAAATAAATGACAAACTGATTAGATGTCTGTTAAACGCAAACATTTTAACATTGAAATGATATATTAATATGAATGCTATTACGACAGAAATGGAGGCCGAATTGCCTCCCAATCAGAGCCATTACGAGGACTTCCACACAATCGACTGGCAGAGAGACATCGCGAGGGATCGCATGAGACACCGGTTTATTGTGAAGAGAAAACACAACTCCATTATAGAGATGCTTAAGTCAACGCACGACGCGTGGAGTGGTTGGCTGTGTGTGCTTTTGGTGGGCATCAGTGCCGGTGCGGTCGCCGGTGTGATCGATATCGGCGCCGGTTGGATGAAAGACCTGAAGGACGGCATATGTCCCGCAGCTTTCTATTTGAATCGAGAACAGTGTTGTTGGTCTTCGAACGATACGGAACTCGAAGGTTTGATTTGACAACTGTTTGGCCGAAATGATGACCTAATTGTTTGTGTCTGACATCAGGTACTCTGTGGACAGACCATTGCGAGCAATGGAAGACTTGGCCGCAACTCATAGGTCTGAATGAGAAGTCGGCAATCGTGGGCTCGTATATAGTTTCGTACTTTTTCTACATCTTGTGGTCATTCATATTTGCTTTGTTGGCCGCGTCTTTCGTGCGGACATTCGCGCCGTACGCCTGCGGCTCAGGAATTCCAGAGATTAAGACAATACTCTCCGGATTTATCATTAGAGGCTATTTAGGCAAATGGACGCTTACTATTAAATCATTGGGTAATTATATAAGTTTATTTCAAAACATAATTATTATTATTAATTCCTCAATACTTTATGATTTACATAACAGGAATGATGTTAACGGTAGCGGCGGGTCTATCACTGGGAAAAGAGGGCCCTCTCGTCCACTGCGCCTGTTGTATAGGAAATATATTCAGTTATTTATTCCCCAAATACGGCAAAAATGAGGCCAAAAAGCGTGAGATATTATCGGCCGCGTCGGCGGCCGGCGTTTCCGTCGCTTTCGGTGCACCGATCGGAGGGGTGTTGTTCTCACTCGAAGAGGTCTCCTATTATTTTCCACTTAAAACTTTGTGGCGAAGTTTTTTCTGCGCATTAGTCGCCGCTTTTGTCCTCCGATCCATCAATCCTTTCGGTAATGAAGTCTTATTTTATTGTCTGGTATTTCCCCCCTAAAGCACTGACACCACCCGTCCATTACAGGCACTGAACATTTGGTGATGTTTTACATCGATTACACGCGTCCGTGGATTCTCTTTGAATTGGTTCCGTTCATAATGTTGGGCGTCTTCGGCGGTCTAATTGGCAATATATTTATTAAAGCGAACCTCCGTTGGTGTCAACACAGGAAATACTCAAACCTCGGCCAATACCCCATCAGCGAAGTGTTGGCCGTAACGCTGATCACAGCAGTGATCGCATTCCCCAATCCCTACACTCGCATGAATTCGTCCGATTTGATCAAAATGTTGTTCAGTCCGTGCGGTATCGCCGACGAGACCCCGCTTTGCAACTATTACCGCAATTTCACTAACGTTAACGAACACGTCCAGATCGCTCAGGCGGGGCCCGGCGTATACCAGTCCCTCGGGCTCCTCATTCTGGCGCTTATATTCAAATTAGTGATCACTATATTCACGTTCGGAGTCAAAGTGCCCGCCGGTCTGTTCATCCCGTCGTTAGCGATGGGCGCTATAATGGGCCGAATAGTGGGCATAACGATGGAACAAATCGCTTATAATTACCCCAAATGGTGGGTCTTTCAGGACGCGTGCTCTAACTCTGGCGAGAGCTGTATGAGTCCCGGTATGCCATCACTAACCCATTCGTTGCGATTAGATGTTTGATTATTGTCTGTACACCGATAGGACTCTACGCAGTGGTGGGCGCGGCTGCTTGTCTGGGAGGTGTGACCCGAATGACAGTGTCTTTGGTGGTGATAATGTTTGAGTTGACGGGTTCTGTCAACTTCATTGTACCCCTAATGTCGGCCATAATGGCTGCCAAATGGGTGGGCGACGCGTTGGGGAAGAAGGGTGTCTACGACGCCCACATTGAACTCAATGGCTATCCATTCCTCGACAACAAGGAAGAGTTCCCGCACACGACTATAGCCGCCGACGCCATGAGACCCAAACGAAACGAACCGCCGCTCGCAGTACTCACTCAGGACTCCATGACTGTCGACGATATCGATAATCTCTTGAAGAGTACAAACCATAATGGCTTTCCTGTTGTCGTTTCGCTCGAATCCCAATATTTGGTGGGATTTGTGTCGCGAAAGGACTTGAGTTTAGCGTTAAGTAACGCCAAACGCACGTCCGAAGTGTTTGAGAACTCTGTCGTACTGTTCAGCACTGGACACGTGCCCACAGATCCCGTTCCTCATCAGCCCATTAAATTGAGACGAGTCGTTGATTTGGCGCCCATTACTATCACAGATCAGACACCTATGGAAACAGTGATCGATATGTTCAGGAAATTAGGTCTGAGACAAGTGCTCGTCACACATAACGGGTAATGCATTCGCCATTCGTTCAAAATGATCCAAAACTTAACTAATTGTTTGTTTTTTACTTTTCAGTCGCTTATTAGGGATTATCACTAAAAAAGACATTTTATTACATCTAAAAGAGTTTGAAGATTTAGACCCGGAATCGGTTTTATTTCGATAGATAATGAATTCTAATAATTTTATGACATAAATCTATTTTAAGCATATTTTTTTGGAAATCAATTAATCGTAAAGTATTTAACATTTTAAACAATCGGAAAAATGATTGAATATTTTAAATTCAATAAAACTGTTATGTTATTCATATTCTATTATTTATCAAAACTCAATGTAAAGTAACTTATTTTTTGTTGAATTTAAGTTACAAAACCAAACGGCAATCAATGTTATGATTGAATTAATATTTTTTAGTGTTTGAATGATTATACAGTGATTTAACTTATAATTGTTTGTTTTCATATTTATTTCAATAAAATATATTTATTTAAAATAACTTTTGAATGAATCAATTCAAATGCAATTCACTGAAAATTCATTAGGAATGTGAAAACTAGACTTCAATACTGTATTATCGCCAGAATCGTAACCTTCAGTGTTTTATTACATAGAGCCCAACCTTCCCCTATAGCGCACGTACTTAATGCTACCAATAGTGTACAACATTATAAGCTAATAGCTATACACACACTTTGCAGTGCATCACTATATGGTTTATAGTAAACTCCACATATAGTGAACGAATAATTGTTTGCAAACAATGGGTAATATGTTTTGATCGCGCCATTGATGACAATCGTGGGCTCATATATATGTCAAAGTGTGGACGTGTTTGTTGGACAGGAGTGAGAGAGAGAGTTGTTTCGCTGCGACCGGCAGTTGTGCGCCAATGGGAGCGCAGTATTTGGCGTAGTGCTGACTCGTGGCTCCGTTGGTGAGCGTTGGCTGAGTCAGTGACACAATGTCTGCTCCCATAATGAAGTGGCGTAAAGTGACGGCTTGTGTGGGTCCGGCCCCCCGTCCCCGTCACGGACACAGAGCCGTCGCCATCAAAGACTTGATGATTGTGTTCGGCGGCGGCAACGAAGGCATTGTCGACGAATTGCATGTCTTCAACACCAGTAAGTGTTTGCCATTTGTTATTGTCTTGTATTTATGGTATACAGTAGTGTTGTATACAGTGTTTGTGTGTATACTCTCTCTATATATGCCATACAAAAAGCCCGTATATATAGCGGGCGCTCATATATATTGATCCCAACGTTTTACTGCACAGTCTGTGCTCTCTCTCCCTCTCTCTCTCTCTCGCACTAGTGTTGCTTTAGTACGACATCTTTGTTGAGCCATTGATATACAGTTTAAACCATTTATATGAGACACCGATCGTAACCTTCATTACGCTATAGCGAGAGTGAGTGAGAGAGAGAGAGAGACCACTTCTTAACCATTGAATGAATATCGCATTTAATTTTGTCATTACATAACAACTCGTGACTGAAGTGGCGCTCAATTTCTTCCCACACTTTAATGAAAAAACCTTTCCTTTCGTACAAAACGTACAGACGTTTAGATTTGGCGTTAGATTTAGTTTCGCGCATAAAAAACACATTTTTTGTCAAATAACTATTTAATTAAATTGTTTTTTACTGATTATTTAATTAATTTTATATAAAAATAATTATAAAATGAAAATAAAACACATGAAGTAGAGTAAAAAGTTGATAAAAAGCACCTATATCGTGACAGAATTGACCTTGCTTGTTTTTGTTTTTTGTTCAAAACTTACGATATTTATAGCGGTAATAATGAGGGGGAGAGTGTGAGGGGGCGTATTGTATGGCAACCCCCGCACACTTTGAATAGCCATACGGTTTACGATATAATTAATTTGGTTCCCAATATATTTGTAACAAAAACTTATAAACTTTGTTGAAAAACAAACGGCACATAAGGTTTACACAAATGTTTCAATTATAGCAACCAATCAATGGTTTGTACCGCAAGTGAAGGGCGATATACCGCCCGGTTGTGCGGCCTATGGGTTCGTATGCGATGGGACCCGACTCCTGGTCTTCGGAGGAATGGTAGAGTACGGCAAGTACTCCAACGAGTTGTACGAACTCCAGGCCAGTCGATGGGAATGGAAACGACTTAAGCCGCGGCCCCCTAAGAATGGGGCCAACTATCCCTGTCCTCGATTGGGCCACTCGTTTACACTGATCGGCAATCGGGTCTTCCTATTCGGAGGTCTGGCCAACGATTCGGACGATCCGAAGAATAATATTCCCAGGTTTGCGACCGATGTCTGTAGTGTTTGAATAGATGGCCTAATTGTATGTGTTTTGTTGTATTGAATGTGTGGACACAGGTATCTGAACGACCTGTTCGTATTGGAGACGCGGCCCTATTCTAATGTAATGCAATGGGAACTGCCGACGACGTACGGCACACCCCCTCCGCCCCGAGAATCTCATACAGCCGTCGCTTACGTCAGTCCCGACGGCAAGAGTTCTAAACTGATTATATACGGAGGTATGAGTGGTTGCCGTTTGGGAGACCTATGGCTTCTGGACATCGAGTCAATGACATGGACTAAGCCTTTAGTCGACGGTATTTTGGCTTTTTTACTCGTGTCTTGAATTGTGATATTAATGTAGTGTTTATGATGTGCGGCACAGGTATACCACCCCTTCCACGGTCTCTGCATTCGGCGACATTCATCAATCAGCGAATGTATGTCTTCGGCGGTTGGGTTCCACTGGTCTGTGAGAACGACACGAAAACCGGTGGAAGTGTTCAGGAGAAGGAGTGGAAGTGTACCAATACATTGGCTGCGCTTAACTTAGAGACAATGACCTGGGAATTCATTACCAACGAGTCGTTTGATGACTCTGTGCCGCGCGCCAGAGCCGGCCACTGCTCGGTGTCTATCAGTACGCGACTGTATGTGTGGTCGGGTAGGGATGGGTATCGGAAGGCGTGGAACAATCAGGTCTGTTGTAAAGACTTGTGGTATTTGGAGACCGAGAAACCTCCGGCGCCCACAAGAGTACAACTGGTGAGAGCGGCCACCAATACGTTGGAGATCTGTTGGGGCGCCGTTCCCACAGCCGACTACTATCTGCTTCAGATCCAGAAGTACGACATCCCTCCCAACCAACAAACACAGTCCGCCGCCGGCGCTCATCCGCCGGGCATTCCTTTAGCTAAGACGCCGATCGCTGTCACGCCTCCCATCACTCCTCCCGTCACTCCTAAAGGCATGCATCAGATCAACGCAATGGTATGTCAAATAATTAAGTTTAATTTCTATGTTGTGTTTACATTAATACCTATAAATTGATAGCCGAGTGCACCCGTTATCACCTCTCATACGACACCCTTAACCAATGCACCGACCGGTCAATTGTCAGGAATGGCTGCGTTGGCGGCAGCGGCTGCGGCCACACAGAAAATGGCGACACCAACGCTGCAGACCGTATCGACTCCACCCGCGACTCCCACTATCTCTCAAACGGCTGTTCGCGTGATTACACCCCAACAGTTACAACAAATACAGACCACAAGCGGTCAGACTATTAAATTAGCTTCGGGTTCAGTTCAGGGCGGACAACAGATCAGACTGATTACTCCCGGACAGTCTGTCGGCGGAACCAAACAGATAATTGTACAGAAAGCGGGACAGGGAGGCACTGGTCAGCCACAGCTGATGACTTTGGTTAAGACAGCGCAGGGCCTAACGTTAGCGCCGGCGGGTACTAAAGGCGGACAAGTGGTGAAACTGGTGGCCTCTCAACCCGGGCAGAAGCCGGGAACGCCGACTATCATTCACGCCACACAGTCTCAGTTGATTCAGTTCGCAAACACCCTCACCAATGCAACCGCCGGTCAAAGAGTTATGACAACTGTTATGAAAACCATGGGAACAAATGGTATGCCATCGACTGAGATAATTGTTTGTTTGGTTGTAATCGTAATTAATAATAATTTTTAAATGATAGTTCAATCGGTGGACAGTTTGCCCAAAACAGTAATGTTATCGACTGGAAAGGCGGGCACCACAACCACCTCAACGCCAGCAAAGATAGTGACCGGCCCTCAAGGCGTTAAAATGATTGTCGTTCAGACTCCACAACAGGCCGGAGCCGCACAACAGTCGCAGACTGTCATCATTGGCGGTCAAGGAGGCCAACAGACCACTGGTCAGCCATTTACGCTTCAACTGCCGTCTTCACTATTACAGACGGCCACCGGAACCGGTACTTGATTTTTACGATATACACTATTTTGATGGAAATTCTAACGAATTGTTTTTGACAAATAGGCGGCACGAAAACGATTACAATCCCCGCGTCAGCCCTCAAGTCTGGAATCGCTGGCGGAACTCCTAAGATAGTGTTGGCTTCCGGTTCCACATTACCTCCTGGTGTTCGTATTGTGCAGACGGGCGCCGGAAACACGATGACATCGGGCGGTCAACGAGTTGTCTTCCTTTCATCGGCGTCGGCCACCACTCCCACTGGAACTATCGTCACGAGACCCGCGTCTACATTAACACCAACGGCAACGGCGGCCGCAACCCTTGTCAAAGCCGAAGCCGCGACACCTAAAAAGATTCCTCAATTGGACGGCGCGGACGACGAGCCCGAAACCGAGGACACAAAACCTGTTGTTTCTAAAACATCTAAGAGTACACTCGAATCGGCGCTATTAGGTCAGGGAAGTGGCGCCCCGTCGGCCACTAGTGGTATGTGTAAAATGATGACAAACAATGATTGAAGACTAGAACTGAATATAAATGTGTTGTATAGGTCTGAAAGTGGAAATGCCGGGCGCAGCGCCTCCTTTGCAAATGCTTTCTGACGATCCCGACCCGCCCTCTGCTGTTAAGACAGAGCCTAATACAGACTCCGATCCTTTGGCGACACTGGCGTCGGCCGCTATCTCCTCGGCGGTGACCAATGGTGTGCCGACACTGAATGCGGTGAAACCAGCGATTGTCAAACAGCCGCTTAAGAATAAGAACCAGTGGTACGACGTGGCGATACTGAAGACCAATCAGTGCACAGTTCAGAACTTTTTGATGGCTCCGGAAGGGCTCGACAAACGGGATCCGGACGTGGATTTCGATTCGAATACAGTCCCAAATTTTACTAATTATATGAAAGCAGATCTCGAACCCGGAACCGCTTATAAGCTTAGGGTCTGCGCAGTCAACGCCTGCGGACGCGGCTCTTGGAGCGAGATTTCGGCCTTTAAAACATGTTTACCCGGATATCCCGGCGCCCCCTCTGCCATCAAAATAACAAAGGTTTGTAACTATTATTTGGTGTTTGACTGGCGGTTGTGTTAATCGACATTTGTTTTGGCGAATAGAGCGCCGAAGGGGCGCACCTCTCGTGGGAAGCGCCGCACTTGACTTCTGGAGAGATCACCGAATATTCAGTCTATTTGGCCGTAAAGTCCGCGACAACGGGTGGCGGACAGCAAACGGTAACCTCGAATCCGAACCAATTGGCGTTCGTTCGGGTCTATTGCGGTCGTATGGCTTCGTGTACTGTCGGGAACACACATTTGGCGACCGCACACATCGACACCACAACAAAGCCGGCGATCATTTTCCGAATCGCCGCTCGCAATGAGAAGGGCTACGGACCGGCCACTCAAGTCAGATGGCTTCAGGACACGGCCAACGCCACGCCCGCCGCCAAACCCGCACCCAAAAGGGCGTCCACTGCCGCAGCCAACGAACAGTCAGTTTTATTACAAATTAATTGTTTAATTTGTTATTAATCTTTATATTTATTCCTGAAGTACTGCAAAACGGACTAAAACTGAAGCACAATAAGTGGTTTTATGTATTGGTTGACCGAAAATGTATTGAATATCACATCAAAACATCGCTATAATTGTTATATTGATATTATTTCGACTCATAAATGACTTCTTTATATATCGGTTAAAATTCATGTGTTTTTTCAAACAAAATCATTTCTTTACCCCTTTTTTGATCCAAATTTTGATTAAATTATATTTTCGTAAATATTAAATGTATTTCTATTATAGTTTTATCATATTTTGTTCCAATGATTTTCTCATAAACTCATAATGTAATGAAATCAACAAAATTAAATATAAATATTAATTTAATCATAACATCATTCTCTTCTTTTGTCCGCATTTATCATTATTTTTACCCTTTTTTCGATATTAATTTAAGTCAATTGTCTGATTGATTGTAATTCTATATATAATAATCATCTAAAAGTAAAAATAAATATATTAATTAAAACGATGTATAAATTGAGTGTCGCATAAATTTATTGGCAAATAATTTATTTTTGTGATTGAATTTCAATTTTAATGAGTTGTGAAATGAAGTGTGAATTTAGTGGCGAATGTCTTAATCTTCAAGAAGTTTTGCGTTCACATCGATTATGCGATTGGTTTTCCGCCATTCGGTGTAGTCTTTGACGAGTTTGTAAACGAATAAAATCCAAACGTATGTAACGTTTATATATCGAAACGATATGATCAACACCAGAGTCAAGAGCCAAACGGCGCGCACACCCGCGAAACCGGTCACCAGTTGTCCCAATAGGAAACAGTGGGTTATGTTTAATGTCTTGACTATGATTTCGATAAGAGTCCCAAATTCTGGCGTTTCTTCTAACAGCCAATTGAGGATTGATTTGTGTTTTGTGTTCACATCGTATTCATAGTCACAGATAGTGCAGAATCGGTTTGCCGTCGATTCCAGGTATTGTTTGAGACATTTTTGGTGAACGAAACCCAATTCCTCCTTACAATTGCACGCTTTCATCAAATCATTTGTTTCCAAACAAATTCTGCACTTTTTCTTCTCTTTCATTCTAATACTCAATCAGAATGTTTTAAATTCACATTAACTGCGGTTTTGTTTGCATTAAATACTCAAACAATACTAGCATTCGAGTAGACGTTTGAAAATATAATTCAAATAAAGTTTACAACAATATTTGGACAATTGTTGGTCTCATTAATCATTTCAAATCAAACTGAAAACTCAAATAAATGAATACGAAATTTAATGTAAGACAAGGTTAGGGAACGTTGAGATCGTTATCAAGAATTAGTGGTCTGACACTCAATTAGAATACAGTTTTGACACAATTTATAGAAAATATTTTTAAATAACACAACAATTATTCTTATAATAATAACGGCTATAATTCTAAACTATTAACGGTTTATAAATAAATAACAATTATATGATTATCTGTTATATTCAATAAGAAATGCCATCCAAAGAGATGCCGGTCGAGTGCAATATTATTCTGTCTTCTAATCAAACTCTATTCAACATAGACTTCGGATGGGAAGGCATTCCCTATAATCTTGCTTTCAATTCGTTTATATGTTTGGTAAGGAATAAGAAGTGAAGAGAAAATGAATAATTTGTATGTTTTATTCATATCAGGGATTATTTATAACACTTTTTATAATCCGTTGGAGAGTTTATAACACAACAGACATTGAATCCAAAAGTCCAAAGTATTTTGCTTTTAAATTCTACTAAATATTACTACAATTTCAATCATAAAACAATTTTCTAATCAATAGTTGGCTTTACTTTATATACGGCGATAAGAAGAAAGAGGACTTCTATTTGGAAAAACTTAAAGAAATCAATCGAAACCATCGTTTGGCATATTTGCCACCACTTCTCCATCAACACACAAACCTCATCCCCAATCTTAAGCTTCTGGACGGCGACACTATGACTGAAGGCAGCGGACATCACAGCGATCAACAAAAAGCAGATCCAAACTCAATGCCTTCTCTAAACAATGTACAAAACAAATCACTCGAATCGGTGCAATCAATCAGATCTGATCTCGATCTCAATCCGCGTACGAGTTATGAACTGACACACACTCGTACTGATGAAAATCAGGAAATCAAGCGATTAAAGTCTGCTTTAGACAAAGAATTGCCAATATATAAGACGAAAGAACGACTCGTCAAAGTGAGCCTTAAATACAGTTATATGTGTTTGTATTAAATCAATAACTCTTAACACAGACTAAAGTGACAAAAGAGAAAGTCGAGGAAAAGGCGAAGCATAGGTTTGCGTGGGTTAAGGATTATCTGATGATTAGTGACGAAGACATCATAAAGTCAAAAGGCGTGGATGTTCTACAATATCTACTCTTTCAACGATATCTCCTCTATTTTCTCGTGTTATTGACATTCATTTGTTTAGTTATTATTTTACCGATTAATCTTCAGGGAAACGCCGGTATTCATGATGAATTGTTATGATTGAAACTTGTAATTCATGTAAACCTCTGTCACAGAACCGGAATCCAAGAGTTTCGCAAAGACTACCATTTCAAACCTGGGAAACGGTTCGGATCTGCTTTGGGTTCATTCACTTATCACAGCAATGATAGTTCCAATGGTATGAATGTTATAGAAATTACAGACATTTCTAATTTGTATCCAAAATATAACAGGGATTGTATGGTATGTATCACTTCTCGAAACTCATCACATCTGACACACAAATAGTGAACAAAAGTGCACTTTTGGTCGAAAATATACCGCATGACAAACGAGTGCCTCTTATTATCAAAGATTATTTGATGAAAAAGTTCCCAAAAGTAATGATAAAACGGATTACATTTGTTTACGACACGAGAAGATTGGAAAATCTCATGAATCAGTTGCTGACATCAATTGAAGCCAAACAGTTTTGCGTCGATTATAAGAAAATATATGGCCAGAGGTGTGAAGTGAGACCCTATTGTTTGGGTAAATTTGGCGGTATATTGTGCTGTTGCGGGTGTTGTCCCAAATTGGATGGAATCTTCTATTATGCCGAAGAAAAGGTAGAACTCGTGCAGGAAATCAATAAGGAATTAAACGATTTAACACAACAACCGAAAGGCTCGGCGTTTATCATATTTGAAGACAATTTAATGACTAAAGAGTTTGTATTATCCAAGTGTTACTCAATATACTCTTTATAATGAAATCTATTTGTTTTATCAACAGAGTCTTCGAGAGGTTTAACCCAAGCTATTCATTCTGTGTGTATGTCTACCAATGGTATCAAAACTTGTTTGAAAAAAACTCAGATCCAATGGAAACGTTCAGATGGACAGTGAATTACGCTCCGAGTCCTGAAGATGTTGAGTGGTAAGCATCACAATCACATCACATCAAACATGTAATCAATTGTTTCAATGAAAAGGCATGACATCGGTTTAGAGCGAGGCTTAAGCTTTTTGATGAGTTTTATAATGCATGCAATACTCATATTCATATTCCTCTTCATGACTACGCCTACCATTGCTGTCGATATTCTCCTTAAACCCGTATCTACTGATGAGTCAACCACTTTGGTCTGTATAACCAAATGAACCATTTGTTTTTAACTTATACTGTATTATCCAATGCAGACAACACTGAGACAGTTCGGGCGGCCATACCTACTGATGGTCATGACTTTAATACTTCCATCACTAGTAATGATAGTTCAGTATCACATCCCATACAAGACAAGGTCGGCGTTTAACCACGGATTGATGTTCAAGACTTATCTGTTCCTTATATTTATGGTTCTGATTCTTCCGTCTTTGAATCTCTACACGTAATGTCATATAAACACAAGTCTATAATTTAAGGCAATAAATAAACCATTAGTTTCCATAACGATAAATAGGACGGCTTTACTGTTGAACATAGCGTTTGCCGACAACAGTACCCAACAGTCGATTAGTGTGAATTGTTTGTTTCCGACAGCAAATAGCGGTTTCTTCACTAATTATGTTCTGTCCACCGGTTTTGTGGGAAATACAGTTCAGATCTTATTGTTCCCGGAATTGGCTTCTTATATATTCTCACTCTATTATTACTCGCGAAGTGTCGCCGAATACGAGTCCGCGCGACAAATGGTTAAATTTCGGTTCGGTTTTGGCACCAAATACGCGGCAATGCTCTTAATCTATACAATTATCATCACTTACAGCATATCCTGTCCACTGATAGCACCCGCAGGTATTCACCATTTATATATCAATACCTATAATGAATGGCAATTAAGACAATAAATTTGTCTATAATTTATAGGACTTTTCTATATGTGTGTAAAGCATTTGGTCGATCGATATCTCTTGTATTACATCTACACTCCGACGCCAATCAGTAGTCAAATGCACTCAACGGCTGTATTCTTCGTTCAAATGAGTCTTTATTTCCTAAGTGTTCAGATGTGGACCACATTGTCTCAGTATAAAATCGAAACGCCGGACCGGCTTAAACTAACAGACAATATTCACATCACTCCATCGCTTCCCATAGGCTTTTACGCTTTCATCGGTACCATTATTATTATCATTAAGTTTTTCAGATATACATATGTATTCAACGTATAGTTTGTGTTATTATTTCTATTGTCTTTTATTGTAACCAATTCTCACATTTAAAATAAATATTCTAACTTTCAATTCAATGATTACTTGAACGACAAATGCAAACAAAAATAAAACATTATTTTTAAGATTAATTATTTATAATTAATTTTATTAAACTTTAGAAAATTGTTTGTAAAATGTCTATGTAAATCATACGTTGTATAACATTTGAATGCTTACTAATCCTCAAAGTAGACAACTGTGTAAATATCGAGGAAAAGCGGTCACATCTCTTATGTTAGGAATACCAGTCATTGTTTGGATGAGCCGATCAAACCCTATGCCATATCCGCCGGTAATTGTGTTCCCAAAACGTCTTAAATCTAAATACCTTTTCAAATAAAATCATAAATTATTAAATATATAAACGGAAAGATCGTCTCTTAATACCAGTCAAGACTTTCGCTTAAATTGAGTTCATTTATGCGACGCTCGAGTTCTGTGAGAGAATCTTCGCGAACACTTCCTCCGCAGATCTCACCAGAAATCGGAGCCAATAAATCAAAACATAATGCCTTTGAAATATCAATATTAATTAACATCAAGAATAATGTCATCCGTTTATACAAATACCTCTCCATTGGATTGTTTCATATAAAATGGTCGCACATTTGCGGGAAAATGAGTGACAAATACGGGACAGTTATCCATAGAATCTACTAAAAGTCTTTCCTGTTCTGCGTTCAGGTTTTGTCCACTTTTCAAATCCGCATATTTTTTAGTTTTCCTCAACTCTTGTATCGCTTCATTGTATGTCATTCTATAAGATATGAAATTATAATCATTTGTAATCTATTATCTAAACGATTGAAACCTAACGTAGCGTTTATTTGCAATTTTATCAAAATATTTATAATTCGTCTCTTTGTGGATAAGTTTTAAGTCTTCTCTGCAGTTATTGCTTATATAATATGCAATGAATTTGCAAATAGTCTCCACTCTATCCATAACTTCATCGACTGATTCCACAAATGCTTCTTCCGATTCAAACATCAAGAATTCAGACAAATGTCTTCTGGAAAGTGATTGTTCGGCTCTAAAGCATTGACTTAATGTGTAGACACGACTCAACGAACTAAACAAACAATTTCTTCATTAATTTCATACAAAGAGTAATAGTGAGGAAGAGCTCACATACCGAGCCATTGCCTCCAAATGGAGTTGACTCGAGACCGACAAATACGTCGGTCTATCAAAGTATAGATTGTCTTCACCACAAAAGGGCGACTATAAAGGAAGCAAACACTTGAGACCCCATCTCATCACCAAGAAGTGATCCAATCATTACCCGAACATTGAAGACATGTCCTCCGCCTTCGCAGTCGTTGGACGTGAGAAGAGGTGTCGTAACGTTCGTGAAGTCGTTGTGTTTGCCATACATATGAATGGCATTCATTGTCTCGCTTTTAATTCTGGCCAACGATTGAAACATTGGCTGTCGTTGTCTTAAGTGAAGGTAAGGACGAAAATAAGACAATTTATAGTCTTTGCTTTTGTCCACAATTGGATACGTGTTTGGATCGCAAGAACCCATTATATCAATGGATTCGCACAACAGTTCCACCGGTTGTTTGGGTCCCGGACTCGACACCAGACGTCCCACACATCGCACACAACACCCGTTGTATAGCTCTTTGACGGATCTGAAGACACATGGGTTACAAACATATCATATAATACCACAAACCACTCGCAAAGACATACGTTTGGACCACATCTTCATCGATGACCACTTGAATGTGTTTATGAATGGATCCGTCGTTTACGTGAAGAAATACAGGCTTTTGTTTGCGACTCGACTTAACCCAACCCTAACACCAATAGACCACTCATTAGAGACAATGTTATCATCAAAATCAGAGTCCAATTATCACCGAAATAGAGACCAATTGATCGCCGGGTTTAGTATTCAATGCATTTTTGACATTCATTTTCATAACACACTTCTCATTAAATAAACGTTTTGTACATTCAATCGACTCTTCGCTCAAACGTCTGAAGCATTGAATCGATTGATAAGTATTTGATTTCAGCAAATGTTTTATAAAATGCATTGAAATTAGGGTTTAATTGCAATCAAATTCAATGCAAACAAAACAAATTGTTTGAAAAGTTTGTTTCAAAACATTGAACACATGTTTGGTGTGAATGACATCACATCAGGGATTGTCTATACATCTCATGAATTCAATTCTTGATCTTAAATTCTGACCACCGATGAGATAATCGGAAAAACATTGAAAACATCGGTTAATGTCTTTTAAGAGTTATAAAATACTCTAAATTTATATAATTTATTAACAAATTTCATCTAAAATACAATTTTTTAAATAAATACAATACTAATGGAGAATAAAATACAAAAGCTATAAAAATACACAACTTTTTGTGTATATAATTAACAATTGATAATAAGATATAATAATAAATTCATTTAATTATAATGTATAGAAATCGTCGGTAAAAGTGTTTTCATAAACGCAAACGGATGGATGAGTTGTCGTGTTTTGATGGCCAGAAGTTTCGACAATTTTGCACAATTCGTCGCTTATAGTGAAGGGAAAGCCAAAGAATTTGTTAGTTTCAAATTGGTTGAGCCGATAGGTAACCATATACCACGCGCTCGCTCTCAGTCTCTTGTCTTCGGGCGAGTCATCTGCAGATTCTGTTCGGAATCGTTGTCTAAAATGGATGAATACATGAGCGACGAGTGATTCAAGCAATTCGTGAATGTCATTCATCTCCGTTCGGCCACTCATATAGCGGTTGGTTTTGGTGAACGCACCGCTCAGGAGCACCGCCTCATTGGCCACTCCGCACCGGTTTAATAGATATGTTATTTTCTCTCTGTATAAACCGAATGCATTGGTCGCCAATCCTTCGTATTTGTGCCAACCTTTCAATTCATTTAACGATTATATTTGTGTTTCAATTCACATAATTTGACATTAAGTTTAATTACCAGGTAAGATAAGTTTAGGATTTGGTTGGTAGTTAATCTCGTGTATAATTTTGCTTTGAATGCTATTTTCAAATTCACAACACATTCGATACATGCGTCCCAATACTCTCTTCGAAAGATAGGTCTTCTTCTCAATCACTTTCTCCATAAAATCTGGATATAGTTTTGGTTTCTCTTTCCTATCGATTGGTTCAACGATTCCAGTCTTTGCGAAATCCAATGCAACACAATATTTGATAGCTATTCCAGTGATAAAAACACATAAATAAAACTTATAAATTGACTTTCAATGGTAGTAATTGTGAGACTGACCTAAACTCATACAAACGGGAGAGAAAATGCCCTTCTCTTGTAGGTCAGCGTTCGCTAAATAGGCGTTCGCTATGAGTCCCACGTTATTACTCAAGAGATATTCGCAATAAAAGTCGAGAATGTCTTCGACCTCTGCCTTGTGGTCGAGTTCTTGCGATTTGCCGGTCGGGAAATGCATGGCCGCTATGTTTTCGCCTTTAAAAATCAGGTCTGAGTTCCAGAATATGGCGTATTCGTCGCCATCCAAATCACTTCCGGCCATTTCATCCGAGTGCGGACGCGCGCCCTTCGCCGGGAATACCAGACAGTCTCTGATGTGACTCAAGGCGGGAATGTTGACAGCAGTGAGTTTGCGGACATCGCCGGGATGTAGACACGGGAACTTCGTTACCATCACTTGTCCTTCGAGTTCAAAGTAATTACCGCACGGAATGCCGTCTTTGTCCACGTGTGACAGTTTGGCGTATATCTGGCCGTATTCTAGAGAACCCGTTTCGTCGAGAACTCCGAACGCAATCCTTCCCCTATTCATCGGTACTTTAATTCTTGCCTTTGATTTCAATTCTCTGATTCGATGGGGTATTAAACAGTCGAGTATTTGCCTAAATATGGGTTCCGTTAGAAATGAGATTCCATTGGCCAACAGCTTCTCGTACGGCAACGAAAGACTGCTTTCATTCTGGAGGAGAGCCATCGCAGAGGCGTTGCACTCTAGAGAATTGGCTAAACTTTTGAGTGTCTCGTCCAACATCTTAAGAAACACATTGGGATTGACTAACAACTGTTCCAGTAATGAGATAAGAGGTCGGTTCAGATATACGGGTCGCGGCGCCGATAGCTTAAGAATACCCAACGATCTGTCGTCCGATTCATACTTTTTCATACTCTCTCTGAAGATAATGCGTTGCTCTTTGAGTTTGGGGTTCACGACAAGCATTCCCTTACAGCCGCCAAACCTGATCTGCATCGCCGATGGCCTCTGAATACAATCGTTTGGTAATTGTTTGTACACTTTCTCAGCGATCGCTTCGGACACCATTCCGATGCCATCCGAGAAGACGTACCGCTCTTTCGTCAGGATTTGAGGGTTTCTGAAGTCTGGTTTGAAGGGGCCCTCAATGTCGGCGAAGTAATCGATTTGCGTCTGTGAGTCAATACTTATGTGAGTCATGGCCTGTGAGAAGACGAGTCCGAGTCGGGCCACATATTTGGGCACATTTTTGCGAATTTTACTCATATCTCCCACTGATTCGCGAAATGTATGCGCTGTTCGGCCGGAGTTGTCCTTCGCGTACAAAATCATGCCATTGTCTCGCAGTTGACTCGAAGAACTGCCCAGAAATTCAAACACTCGGTCGCCAATTGTGATGCCATTCATAAGCGGTGTTTTAACGATTCGTTTGACAAAATTGATTTGACTCTCCTGTGAACCACTTCTTTGGACGGTATAACTCAATGCCTTCAGATTGTCTTCACGTATGGTTAGCCTTAAGTTGTAGTCGGGCTCTGAGTTCACTATAAAACGGCTCTTTAGTATGGGTTGCGGCGGAAGCAGCAGAAGTCGGGTCGGCGTTAGAATACACCGACGGATCTCTTGAATCTCAGTGTTAAATGATTTCATGTCAACTCTATCTCTATAAATGTCGTGCTTTCTCTTCAGTTTATCAAATATCTTATCCAAAGCTATCGAAATACGAAATATAGATCTGCTTTCAATGATGGCTGATATCTGAAACAGTGTCTCTTCGGTAGCCTTTTGGTCGGTTTGTGAGTATTGTTCGCACTTTTCCATGAAATTAATGGTTTCGAATTTGAAGAACAGCTCATCTGATCCCTGGAATGTGTGCGAAAAGATTGATTCAAAAGCATATCTCACAGCGAATGGCAGTTTCATATTAATCGGATCCAAGAGGTAATTGATTTCGCGGTTATTGACGCTATTGTGTTCACTAATGTGCGCGAAATACACGGGAATCGGAACCAAACGTTTCATTGAATCAATCACTGAAAACGGATCCTTAATGTCAATACATTTCTGGTTTGGTGTGAATTCTTTGGCTTTTTTGTTGATTGGGATCTCAATGACAAAGACATTGCATTTGCCAATCATTTGCGCCGATAGTCCGCGCAACTCATTGTCACGAATCCAATTGACCGCCGAAGACATCTCGTCGGTATGGACGCCAACATACGAATCGTATTCTTCTCTTAACGACAGTTTCGGGTATTTGTTTTGCTTCTGTGGCGACGAGTCGTTGTGTTTGAGATCATTCTCCACGCAAAACAGAATCGGCGGGTGATTGACATTAATGTGGAGTTTGATTGAATCCATTTCAGTGGACACAACCATCGATTCAATGGACGAGTAGTCGATCTCAAACTTGTAGCGAATGTTATGAAAGCACTTCTTATTGTGTCCACCGCTCGTCACCCGAAACTTCACGTTCACATTCCGGCGCTGATGGAGAAACTCGGCGGTCATGTCGTCTCTGGCGACGTGTACTTTGCTGTTGAAGAAATTCCGATCACTGCTGTCGTAGTGTTTGATGAATTGCGTCAAATCGATAAGAGTTCCCATTTTGAACGACTTTAAGTTATAGGAATCGCCGCACATATTGTCCACCGAATCCATACAGAGGGCGGTGTTTGGCAGCATTTTATACGTGTCTTCCGTGAAGGAGAACCACGTATTCTTGAGCTCCCGTTCGGCGCAAATGCTGGCAATCAGTTTCTTGACGGCCGGACCCGTCGTCTTCTCGAGCGTCGTGTGGGCCGTGAATCGGGACACGCCTTCGTCCTCGTAGTAGATCTTGTCCGACGTGTTGCCCAACGCCATGAGCTCCATGTCCACAGCCGTGACGCCCCTCAGGCCGCGAAGAGTCGTCTGCAGAGTCTTTCCCTTCTCTAACCGCCATTTGTTGATCGCATTATCGCTTGTGTCCCGACAGCCGAGCGGTGCGTCCGATATGTGGATGATCTCAACGCTGAGCGCTGTATAACACGCGTTAGTATTGGCGTAACCGCCGCTCTCCAGCATCGCTTCACTCAACGCTTCCCAACCTTTGTATCACTGAATGTGAGATCAAAAACAACTGAATGACAACTGAATGACTGAATCGACGGTTGATATGAAATGTCAAACAAATTGTGAAATCAATTCAAAAATAATGAATTCATTATTCGATTAGTGAATGCATTGAATGCACGAGAGTTTCACAACTCATTCACTATTCACTACACTTTATAACAGCAATGCATTTCATTCATACATTTCGCTGCAAACTGTATGAAAAGTTCACTAACTTTTCATTTTCACAAATTCACTATCAGTTTAATTAATCACTTGATTATTGCGAATACAATTAAAGCACAATTAGATTTACATTTCTTCACACCATATAATGCAACAAATGTTTAAAATGCAACAAATCATATAATCATAGAAATTGTATTCAATAACTGTAACTAAGTTTGAAAAGTTTGTAAAAATTATGTTTTAAACACCAGTTTTTGATTTAATTTATATCGAGTTGTATTCAACATCTCATTGGATCTGTTGGTCACTTCTTAAGGCATTCACTTCTTCACACAATCGATGACATCACTATCAATGGGAGATGTATTACACACAAAGACAACGATTAAAAGTGCATTCAATCAACAATTCACATGATTTGATGAAAACTTTGAATGACATTTAAATGGAGACCAATTGAATGGATGATATGATATGTATATCTTGAGCGAAGTGTGGTATTAGTTGATGACAATGAGACCTGTGAGGGGACACACCATCACAGGTGGTCATCGTTTGAAGACATGGTGTGGAGTGAAAGAGTGATCACATGATTGACTGTCTGAGACTCGAGACAGCGTTTCATTGCAACACAAGTCAAACACTTGACAGCAAAATAGGTGTCAAACCATTCATTCAACTCATTATTTCATTCACGTCTATGAATGACCAAAAACTTAAAAATAAATGCTATAATATTAGCAGATATAACAACTATTAGTATATTGAAAAATATTATGTAATAATTCTTACAATTTTTATATTGTTTTAACAAAATTAATGAAACCATTTTTTGATATACTTTTATCCAGATCATATAAGTATTTGGTTCAGTGTCTGCATAGTATGGCATACTTCCCACTGGAAGTGTATGTCTTTCCCTGGACTTCTCATTTCGATATCAATGATTACTTTTATAACTTTTATACAATACCTCAACAAATATGTATGTCATCGATAGTGTTCACTATTTTTCGCTGGTATAACACAATCGCCGCTATTATTTGGTTTATTTTATTCAGCTGTAATTTCATTAAGAATTTTAATTTAAGCGAAACTCAAAGCAATCTCTCAGACGACTTGATTATAGCTAAAAATTATCATAAAACTAATTACAAAACTTTATGGCAGAATATTATATTGAATTCTATGTTAATATTTTTGGTCATTTGTATAACAATCTGCTGTTGGTTTGAATGTGTTTACCATCACATGATGTGATTATTAAATATAAAATTTACCGGTATATGTTTTATATATTTGTTGTAATATTTTTAATATTTATTTATATTTTCTTAAATCATTAACAATAATTGACAATTAACTTATATGTCTGTTAAGTTTCAATACCAGAACATATGGATAGCACACACTTTGTAATTAAATATTTGTTGTAATATTTTTAATATTTATTTATATTTTCTTAAATCATTAACAATAATTGACAATTAACTTATATGTCTGTTAAGTTTCAATACCAGAACATATGGATAGCACACACTTTGTAATTAAGTCAACTTTAACATTTCTATGAATTATACAATCAATGCTATCATATGTTAACAACAATTAGCGCTAATTAATAATTATTGATAAAATGACAGATAATTTAATTGTTCATAACTTCACGTTATAATCAATTGTTTGATTCAAATTTGGTAAAAAAGGCGCTAATTATTGAGAATTTATTACATTTCAAATCAAATCCCCGTTTATTTCAGTTTAAAATTGGTTACAAAAAAATCAGAAATGAATTCAATTGAATCGGAAGAGAAGCCCACATCTGAGCCACCGATGAAGTCGGGCGGAGAGGTGTTGGAGAGCAGACGCCGGCGCCGAAAATCCAAAGGCGGCGACGAGTCGTGCGGTCGGAGACGCCGAAGAAGACGCGGCGGACGAAAGCGTCGCTCTCGCAGTCGTTCCCATTCCGGACACCGAAGACGCAGAAGAAGGCGCCACCACTCGGGCGATGCCGACGGGTGTTAAGAGTCCACCAATCGGTGCTCTTCTCAGAAGAAACAATGGATTCATTCATCATTATGATCATTTGTAGGAATTTTGTTCAAATTATCAATAAAAACCGTTAAAATCCAAATGAATTTTATTTATTTATCAATTATTTGATTCTGGGATCTGATCCCAACCCCTCTTCCCTTCCACTACCACAATATGCCTAACCATTAACCTATTGATTGGCCATTGAGTGCCGTCTGATTGATATTACATGAATTGGTTTTGTGGTAAAAGTACAGAAAGAGTTATATATTTGTCCACAATTGACAGGTTTTGTATGACATTCACATCTCTAATGAGGCGATTGTGTTAATACATGTCATAAGTAAAGAATAATCGCCACAATTATATGATTGTATGGGCAAAGGGATGAAATGTCACACAATTCTAGCATACATTTCGTCATTCATTCATTAAAGATTAAGTTTTAGGAAAGTTTGTAATGCATTTCAATTTGAGAATACAGTGATTGGATGGGAAGGCAATAGCCATGCAATCAATTAACAGCCACTTTGAAAGGGGAAGTAAAGGTGTAAAGGTTAGGGTGTTTTACGCTACAGTTTAGTGCCATTTATGACCGCAACAGGTGTTTATGGTTTGATACTAACAGATAGAGTGACCACATGTATGCATTTAATTGCATTTCCATACAATTCCTACGAAGTGACACAACAAGTGCTTAAACATCAAAAAGTTGTGCTTAAAGTGTGTAATAGAGATGCGAAACAATCACTTAATTATGAGTTTTTAGTTTTAATTTACAATTAGTTTTCTTCGAAAGTGACTGATTTAGTGAACTCTGAATGAGTATCTGTTCATTGCCTGTGATATACTGTATGGAAAGTTAAGGGCAGTGAAGGCCATACAACTCTCACCTCTAGGCTATACTACTGTGTAGTCCAGTATTTGGAGCACACAATAGGCTGTAATATAGTCGATGCAGAGGTAGTCCCGGATCGCAGTGTTTTGAGCGATGGGCTGATGACTCACATGTGGAGCGAGTGTTCACTTTGGGCTCACTTTGCGTTTGCATTGATTTGATCGACGAATGCATCGATTGTTTTGATCACTCAATCAGTGGTCACTTCCTATCACTTATCGGTATAACAATCTTAACGACATGTCTCACCGTTCTGTCCATTCTTCGTCCACGTCTTCGCCCGACTCATCGTTTGAGGAGTTGTCCGAAGCGAAGACACCCACGAGTGAGGGCGGCGGTGACAATGAGGACGATTATCCCGAGACCTCATCGTTCGAGGAGGTGTCCGAACCCAAGACACCCACGAGTGTCACCCACTCATCGTTTGAATTGGTCGACAAATTGGATGCAATTGACATTCAAAGCGTATCCGAGACCAAAGAGTTGGCCGAAAGGGTTGATTGGATTAAACTCGGCTCCAAATCGTCGACCGGATCTACCCTTACGTCAGACCATTCATACGACTCCCAACTCTCAAACGATGGCCAAAACAAATGGACGACACACTCAGCGCAGGCAAACACACCCTATATAGTGATGGCCAGAGACGACATGATTGTCGATGTGTCCGCTTTCATCGCACAGATACAAGAAGTGGTTTGTCTGCCATTCAATAGGACGTGGAATCTACTCAATGAATACAATTGGGAGAAACAAAAGCTTTTAAACAACTTTTACGATGAGAATCACAATCTTCACCACCGATTGACACAAATGGTTATAAATGGACCGCAAGTTGGAGACGACTATTGTCTGGAGTGCAATGAGGTAATGGAGAAGATTGACGATGGCTTTGGTCTGGACTGCGGTCACCACTACTGTATTCGGTGTTGGATTTTGTACTTAAGCTCAAAGATCGCATCGGCCGTCAATCTCAAGCAGATCTCCTGCGCCCACGACTTCTGCGACCAACTTCTCGATTACAATCAAGTGTTGGATCTATTAGTGGATCAGTCGTTGAAGGATAAGTTCGTGCAACTAATAGTCAACGCGTTTGTAAATAGCAATCCGTTGTATAGATTCTGCGGCAATACTTCGTGCGCTCGTATCATACGAGTGGTCACTCCGGGCTCTTATCCGATCAGATGCTTGTGCTTAACAGAGCTATGTTTCCGATGCGGTCAACCGAATCACTACCCGATTCGGTGTCATCTGATGGACGAGTGGGCGCTTCGACTCCATTCGGACGCTAAGGATAAGTTCCCGGCAATCAAAAGATGTTTGTTTTGTAAATCATTTATTGAAAATCTAGACGACATCCCCGAGTGGTTAGCATTGCATTAATTGACTCAAATAAATAGTTTTAAAATATACTTTTCATTTCAGTGACTGCTTTGGTTGTAAACGACGAATCAAATGGAGTGAAACAATTGACCCGTTGGACAATTTCCAGCAGTTTTTCACTCGCATTCAGACCAATAGTTTGATGATTGAGAGGCAAAATGAGATGAAAACCGAATTCTTTAATCGGTTCATTGGTTGTGTCTCTCTTCGCATTGATGTCACCACTATTTCCGACTGCTTTAAGACGCTCTCTGATTGTCGCAAATATTACGGACTGTTCTGTAAGTTAGAAATGTTTGACAATTTCTTCATTAAATAACTAATTTATTTTTCAGTGGTATTCATGTATTTCTCGCGAAATACACCGCAATTTGAAATATTTAAGGAAAACTTTGGACGCTTTGAAATATCTGTTGACAACCTTTTTGAGGCGATCGCCAAAGAGAGCCAAACATTATTGAGTTGTAAATGCAATGCAGAGAAATGGATGAATTCACTGATTGGACACATTAATGACGGTAATAATAGCGAGTACTGGGAGTACGATATGGAAGATTTCGTCGCCTTATAGGCAATCATACGATTCCTTATTTTTTGTCTTAAATTTTTAGTTAATATATTCTTTTGGATTCTTTCTTATAATGTTGTGACGAGAAAATTATATTTTGATTTCATTACAATTAGTCAATAGTCTATTTGCTAAATTAGTTTCAATAGAAATTGCTAGCAATTTCTCTATAAATAATAATAAATTTATATAAAAATAAATAAATACAGTATAAAAATTTTCACAAATTTTGAAGAAATAAATAATCTTTTAATATTTAGTTATGTAATGAATATTGAAGTTAAAACACATTTAGTACAGTATTTCTACAAAATGTTGGTTTTGTACAAATATAACAATTATGCTCACAATACGAATTATGTTTGTGGTTAATCTAATGAACAATGTAAATGACATTTAATTACTATTAGTATATTTGTTATTCAAATAATGTTATGCGAAGTGAATTATGCATTTGTAAAACGCCTTCAAAAGTGTTACGAATTAATTTATATTAATATATCGACAATATATGCAATGAATAAATATTTTGTAAAACAATTATATATTAAAATAAAATAAAGAATAAGTTAATTATAAACTACTGATTAGTGATTATAGTGTAAAGAGTGGACATAAACTGTTTAATACCCATAAATAATTGGTCTTATATAGTGATCGTAAGACAATTGCATTGTTATGTGTAATGAATGTCTATTTTTTGCTCCAGAAGTGTCGGGCCTTATCCAAGACATTGCCTGTCTTTTTAGGCGGTTTAACAATCTTTACTTCTTCGTCGATGGATTGGATGACAGCCTTTGATCCCGGATTAGGGATTGATGTGAGAGAAGTCGACGGCGAGGGTTGCACTTTAGCCGTGGGCTTCGCTGCCAACGGCGGCTTTATTTCTGCCAATGGTTTGCTCTTATCTTGTGATGCAATCATTTTGTCCCCAATTTTTGGTTTTTCTATTTTATCAACGATTGACAATACAATAGAAGAAGGAATTGGGAATAAGGAATAGAGAATACAACATAAATATATAAAACTTATTTGAAAAGCAATTATGATTTTATCTCATCATTTCTCATATAAAATACTTGGTTTCACTTCAGAATCATTTTTTATCGATTCTCTCGATTCCAATAAACTTTACATTAGATAAAGTGTTTGAGTTCTCAATGCTTTTTGATAAATAATCATAAGGATTGAAAGCGATTGCATTAAGATTAAGGTATCAGAGAGTAGTAATATTCTTGTAAAAAGTATTAAAGAATAGAAATATCTCAAAACAAAAAAGTGACTGAATTTTGTGACAGAATTTTTAGAGCTAACTTAAAAATAGTTAAAGAAAAAGTGCAAAAATCATTTTCTAAAGTGAAACCATCAGTCTTTATGATAGTTGTGATCATAACATACATGTGTTCAACAGACTAATGGTTAACTAAAGAGATAGCGGGCCATAAAGATCATCGCTTAGGACTAACAGTTTGGAAGAAAAACAAAAAATGAAACATTGGATTAAAAATCAAATCAAAATACATTTCTTGCAATACTTTCTAATAGCTTATCAATTTGTAAATTACAAATATTACGTATTGTTTGAAATAATATTTACCGCTTAAGGGCACTGATTTAATAGCGGTCATATCCGCGCTGTATTTGTTGCTCAAATTAATTGGTTTGTCGTTTTGCACTTTCATGGAGTCAGGAGAGGGAGACTTGACTCCAGTTATATCATTAGATGTCTTAAGATGTGTGGTTCTGGGCATCGGCTGTACGGGCGGAGCCTTCTTGTTGTCATCAAAGTTGATGAGAGGGTTGGCTGCGGAAGCTTTTTGTTCATTTCTAATGGTGGAAAAAATATTGGGTCGGTTCACAACCGGTTCCGATGGCAATGGTTTGATGGGTTCGCTCGGTTCCTGTGCTTTTGGTTTCGGTTTTAACCATATCTTGCTCTCAGGTTTAGGCGAAACACTTATTGGCGCCGTTTTGATCAGTTTGTCAACCGATCGGACGTCTGAATGGGCTTTAATAGTATAAAAAGTATTGATATTTATGTTAAGATGTGATTTGAAAATAACTTACGCATAATTTGTGGCGATTTTGTGCGAATCGACGAATTGCTTGTGTTTTGGATTCCTGTCCGAAGACTGGACGGCGCGGAACTCAGATACCGTATTCGACCGGCTTTTCAATCATTTTCATAATAATTAACTTTTTTTGTTAAATAATATTATATTGAAATGTATACCAGATTTTGGTGTTAAACTGAATTCTCTTTCTTGCTTTTTCTCTTCAATAATCTTGAGAGTTGTGGCCAAAGCGAGCGCCTGTAGTCCCCGGTCTACGTGATAGTTATTCCATAGCAAGCCCTGAGAGTAGATCTTTTCCAGACTTTCGCTTGCAATTGGATGACCTGTTTTTAATTGTATTTAATTTCATTAATATTTAAATAATTCAATTGAATGTCTATTTATAGTATAAGTTATAGATTTAGTAAAAATAATTCGTGTAATATTTGCTTTCAATTATTTTATAATTCTAATAAATATTAGAGAATCTAATTTTACTTTTTATTTATATAATATTAATGATAATAAAAATTTCAAAATAATGCAATTTATCGATTTTATGTCGTAAATATAGTGTATTAACAAAAAATTTTGCAATAATAATACTAAATATAAAGAATATAAATGTATAAATCAATAAGAAGTTAACATTTGTTATATTGTTATTATGAAGTAGTAGTGAATATAGCAAATACTGACTCAAATGATTTATATTTTCGAAAACAATCATCATTTAAATCTAATACAGTATTTCTTTTTCAGAATTAAATATAATGTAAGATTTCATTTGCTAACAGAAGTAACAATACAATGGCAAATACAATGCAAAACAATTGATTATCAATTTAACTCGCAGTGTATTAAAAGGTGTTATATTCCCACATAAAGTGTTGTGAAACAAACACAAAAACATTCAAAAATTAATACAACTTTTGCTTAAGAATTAAATCTTACGGATACTATATTATTGAATAGAATTCTTAAGAAATACATACAGTACAGAATACATGTAGATTCTAAATGTGTCACATTCTTAAACATTAATTCAATGAATTTATACTCTTATTTACTTCTCACTCATTGTATGAGAGTTTTATTAATTAAATACTGAATTCTTTTGGGTCTACAAAGAAAATGATAAAATTAAATTAAGAAATGGCGTAAATATTCATTACATTGAGTGCAAGCAATTGCAAATGCAGCATGTGCAATTGTGCAAGTAAATGATGAGATAGGATGTTCTCATGCATTTTAATGTACACTTTTCTGCATACTGTATACGCTTTTATTACTGTATTATTGAAGAGACAGCAATTAAATGAAAAGAGTGGACAATCATATATAATAGTCGCCTGTCCTTCACAGACACAAATAATTCCAGTTCTTCTCGTCGAGTGACTCAACTAAGGCTATAATAGGCGTTAAAAAGCGTTCATTAACTCAAAAAAGTCATTACATATGGAATTAATTTCCACATTAGAGTTAAATTCAGGTGTTTTTATAGACTTTGAAAATAGTCTCTGTATTGTTGAGAAAATTGCTTTCAATAAGAAATACATTATATAAATATTAATATCTTTTGGATACTGTTTTTAATACCATTAACGACATTAATGACAATACAAACCAGAAAATACTCTATATATGCATTGTTTGTGAGGTTTTTATATGTTTGGGATCTGAAAAAGACTTAACTGTAATAATGGAAAACATTAAAAATGTTTTTTTTTATAGTGTCAAACATTTAGATTATATGCCAGTTATACTTGTATGTGAATTCAACATATAATTATTATTATTATCAACCGTTGAATATATACTTGACATTTATGGTTATAATGATATAAAGGCTAATTTTGTATTCAAAAACTGTTTTAAATATTCTTAAGAATATAAAATTAATTGGTAAGAAAATATTTAAATTAGAAATGCTAAATTATGATTGTACACCTACTATACAGTAGTTTCAGTTAAGTTTATAATTAATAAAATATAAATACCAAGTTGGGAACGAGTTTTGTACACATTTGCTTGTTTATTCCTCTCTTCCCTTTCAAAATACCAGTCCTTTGTCTTATTCATGGCGTCCAAGTCTTTAAGCTTTTTAAATCCATTGCCCGAAATGTAACCGTACGACGAAAATGGACGAAATTTTGAGTGATATTCAGAGTGTTTTGGTTTCTCATGTGTGGCAACAGTTTGTGTGTCTTTAACGAAGGGAACGATCTCTTTGTTTTTGGTCACATCCGCTAAATTAGTGATTGTCATTGACTTCTTCGGCGTCGAGTCGACCGCATCCACTCTCTTCGCCACAATTGTCGGCTCAATATCTCTGTACTGAACATCTCTGCCATTCTTTGGCCAACCAAATGAAGTGTTGTATTCCGTGTTACATAACTGTTGAATAAGTTTCAAATTAAATCAATTAATTTCAATCAAAGCAAACTATCGTTACAGTTAAACAACACTAAAAGTTTTCTAAACATGTAATACTTTTGTAGCAGCTTGATTATGTGGATAATCACCATGGGCTGTATTCCAGGTATAACTCCGTCTGTACTCCGTGTTTTCGGCCGTCCTCTCGTGTGGATTCACTTCTTGTTCACTCATTGTTTGACAAAAGTAATCAACGATTGAAATTCAATCAAACAATTATACGTTTAATAATTATTATGCGTTTGGAGTATAGATTGAAGTGTAGGTCATTGTTCACTATAACTCATTCATATAAATGATGTGTTCATAGAGTAGTATATTTCGGACATAAGCTTAACACTGATTTATTAGACAATGGATTTGAAAGTTTACGAAACTACTGGTGAAGACACAAGAGAATAGTAAAGAAATACAATGAATTTTTTTGTTCTGTTGAATACAAGATGTGATGTGAAATAACGGAAAGTGAAATGAAGTGGTCTTTCGTGTTAACGATAACCAAAAAATGGTTGAGTCGTTGGAAGGACTCTGCGAAGCATCACATCTATTGATTGAATCCAATGTGTGTCACATCTAGACTACAGGCATATCCCGTCTAACACTATATACTGCACACACTATTGTGTTGTGTAATGCATTTGATTGAATCATATAAATATTCTTTATTATATCAAACACTGTTTAAAACTCAAATAAAATATTTTCAGATAAAATATTTATTGTTTGGTTTAATATCCTTTAGATGTTTGTATTTTTATTCACTATTAAATAAGTTTATTAAATCACTTCATTTCTTATCTATCGTGACATTACTATAAATATTTGAACGATTTATACATAATCTTAACTTATTATCCATTTATCAAAATAAGAATTCATTCTTACTTATCGATGACATCAACGGATCGTTTTAAAGGAGTTAACAAATTAAATATAATGTCACGATATTATGGATTGAATGGAAAAACAAATACAAAATGAATTGTTTTGTGAGTTATATAATGGAAAGTCTATTATAAAAGCAAAGGTCACGCAAATAGACTCAGACTGTAAGCACTTTTGCATTTAAAAAACATAAAAATACATTTTTTCAGGCATTTATTCACTTATATACAGTAAGATAATAGGCAAAAATGAGTTAACATTACATCTGTTTCAATACAGACAGAAAAGGGAGAGAAATAAAAGTATCAAAACACTTGATATGAACTGTCAAAACATGTTAACCTTCATAAAACTCCCTCTTGTTATCAAAAAATAGGTGTCATTTAATCCGGTATATCATTCATACCTTTCGTTCATATAATAAATGTGAATTTTTTTGTTGTTGTCAAACAATTAAATCATTTTATTAAAATTTAATTTAAATAATACATTAAATCAATTGAAAGCATTTGAATAAATGAAAAGTCAATCATAAGATGCACTTATTGTGTAACAAACTTAATAGAATAACATTTTAAAGCCATAAATTCATAATATTAGTTATCTATTATAAAATCTCAGTAGTTTTATAGTTGCAAAAATATAATAGTGATAAGAAATTAATATATAATAACTCTATTATAATATATTATTATTAATAACATATTTTTAATAACAATAATTAACATTTACTAATTAATGTCATTAAATGTATATAAATATAAGTTGAATCGAAAGAGTAAAATAGACTTTTAAATAACATGCGAAATGACATCAAAAATACATTATATATTTAATAAAAGCTTATATAAAATGAAAAGTCTGCGTTTTACTATCAAAATCGTATCCTGCGTAACTTTACGCCTGCGAGTACTGTGCGATAAAGATCCGATCGCTTATTACTAAACATCTCAGCATTATCGTAGACTTTACTACAAATCGCAGAGTTACCAAACAACAGCACAACCAAATGGCAAAACATAGTGTACATAAACAACGTATGCCATTATGTTTCACATGGATGCATTAAGTCATTCATCCAATATTTCATGTAAATATATTATTAGTTATGATCACTAAAACCCGCTAGGGCCACTGTAGGGCCACTATTGTATAGCAAGGTTATACTTTAGTAATAGAATGATTAATGCTATCAAATATGAATCTGCCAATAAATCGCTATACTTATAACACATACAGTATTGACTATTTACTATTTCATTACACCATGGCGATCCCTGGTTATGACTGTTATTTATGTCACAACTATTTAATTCTATGTATAAACAGTATACAGCCTTTAATAACCAAGGTGCCGGAGCAATCCCTCCACTATTCAGTGACTCTCCCTTCACTGTACCCCTACTTTCCCTGCATTACACACCAAAGTGTGGGGCTAATGCAAGTACAGGTAAAGAGTAGCCCCGTGTAATGCAGGGAAAGTAGGGATACAGTGAAGGGAGAGTCACTGAACAGTGGAGGGATTGCTCCGGCACCTTGGATATTAAAGGCTGTATTTACATAATCTAAAATATATAAAAACTAAAAACAAATAACCTCAAGAGCTGCCGTAAATATTTGAGAAAATGTTTGTTTATTTCTTATTTGCGATGTTATGATCAATGCATTGATCGTGCGATGGGTTTGCGAGTGATGTCATGTGATCACTTTATATCGTGCGACAATCGTAATCTCAAGATACGAATCGCGGTTATAATCATAGCCCAGAAACCAATCTGAGAGAATTCACAATACCTGACGATATATTAGGGCACAGTTCAGTTTACATTACAATACATGGCAATACACTATATGAATGTACATGGGGTGTACATGGTAACGTATATGTGAATACCCACAGATTGGATGTATGTCCATATATAACAGGTCAGTACAGTACAGTTTGCCCCCATGTCCATTCATATAGAGTATTGCCATGTATTGTAATGTAAACTGAACTGTGCCCTAATATACATGTATTGTAACGTGAATCGTGAAATCTCTCAGATTGGTTTCTGGGACTGCTATGGTTATGATGTATCTATGAATGCATTTTGTCGCATCTTTGCTGCGATATTCGCCCGACGTTCTCACTAAGTCAGCCACTAATGATTTGTGTGTTTGGTAATTTTTAATCCTTACTAAGATTACATATTCTGGTAATAAATATGAATGTCTTATATATTGAAGGGTTAAGTCTTACGAAATAAATCAAATCATGGGCTCTAATGGTGTTTACAAATTATATTGAAATGTATTCAGATTTTGGTGTTAAAGAGAATTTTCTTTCTTGCTTTTTCTCTTCAATAATCTTGAGAGTTGTGGCCAAAGCGAGCGCCTGTAGTCCGCGGTCTACGTGATAGTCATTCCATAGCAAGCCCTCAGAGTAGATCTTTTCCAGACTTTTGCTTGAAAGTGGATGACCTGTTTTTAATTGTATTTAATTTAATTAATATTTCAATAATTCAATTAAATGTCTATTTATAGTATAAGTTATAAATTTAGTAAAAATAATTCGTGTAATATTTGCTTTCAATTATTTTTTAATTCTAATAAATATTAGTGAAACTAATTTTACTTTTTATTTGTATAATATTAATGATAATAAAACATTTCAAAATATTGCAATTTATCGATTTTATGTCATAAATATAGTGTATCAACAAATAATTTTGCAATAATAATACTAAATATAAATAATATAAATGTATAAATCAATAAAAAAGTTAACATTTGTTATATTATTATTACGAAGTAGTAGTGAATATAGCAAATACTGACTGAATTTTTTTTTCATTTTTATGTGGATTTATATTTTCAAAAACAATCATCATTTAAATCTAATACAGTATTTCTTTTTCAGAATTAAATATAATGTAAGATTTCATTTGCTAACAGAAGTAACAATACAATGGCAAATATTGGATAACCATTTAATTGATTAATAACAATATAACAATACAATTGATTATCAATTTAACTCGCAGTGTATTAAAAGGTGTTATATTCCCACATAAAGTGTTGTGAAACAAATACAAAAACATTCAAACATTAATACAACTTTTGCTTAAGAATGAAATCTTACGGATACTACTGAATAGAATTCATAAGACAACATAACTTACATGTATATTCTAAATGTGTCACACTCTTATTTACTTCTCACTCATTGTATGCGAGTTTTATTAATTAAATACTCAATTCTTTTGGGTCTACAAAGAAAATGATAAAATTAAATTAAGAAATGGCGTAAATATTCATTACATTGAGTGCAAGCAATTGCAAATGCAGCATGTGCAATTGAATGATGAGATAGGATGTTCTCATGCATTTTAATGTACCATTTTCTGCATACTGTATACGCTTTTATTATTGTGTTATTGAAGAGATAACAATTAAATGAAAAGAGTGGACAATAATATACAATAGTCGACTGTCCTTCACAGACACCCAAACCCGTTGAATATATACTTTACATTTATGGTTATAATAATATTAAGCCTAATTTTGTATTCAAAAACTGTTTCAAATATTCTTTAAAATATAAAATTAATTGATAAGAAAATATTTAAATTAGAAATTCTAAATAATGATTGTACACATAAACTATACTATACTTTACTATACAGTAGTTGCAGTTTAGTTTATGATTAATAAAATATAAATACCAAGTTGGGAACGGGTTTTGTACTCATTTGCTTGTTTATTCCTCTCTCCCCTTTCAAAATACCAGTCCTTTGTCTTAATCATGGCGTCCAAGTGTTTAAGCTTTTTAAATCCATTGCCGGTAATGTATCCGTACGAAGAAAATGGACGAAATTTTGAGTGATATTCAGAGTGTTTTGCTTTCTCATGTGTGACAACATATTGTGTGTCATTAACGAAGGGAACGATCTCTTTGTTTTTGATGACATCCGCTAAGTTAGTGATTGTCATTGACTTCTTCGGCGTCGAGTCGACCGCATCCACTCTCGTCAGCTCAATATCCCTGTACTGAACATCTCTGCCATTCTTTGGCCAACCAAATGAAGTGTTGTATTCCGTATTACATAACTGTTAAATAAGTTTCAAATTAAATCAATTAATTTCAATCAAAGCAAACTATCGTTACAGTTAAACAACACTAAAAGTTTTATAAACATGTAATACTTTTGTAGCAAGTTGATTATGTGGATAATCACCATGGGCTGTATTCCAGGTATAACTCCGTCTGTATTCCGTGTTTTCTTCCGTCCTCTCGTGTGGATTCACTTCTTGTTCACTCATTGTTTGACAAAAGTAATCAACGATTGAAATTCAATCAAACAATTATTGTTTAATAATAATTATTATGCGTTTAGAGTATAGATTGAAGTGTAGGTTATTATTGTTCACTATAACTCATTCATATAAATGATGTATTCATATAGTAGTATATTTCGGACATAAGCTTAACACTGATTTATTAGACAATGGATTTGAAAGTTTGCGAAACTACTGGTGAAGACACAAGAGATTTAGGAAATAGTGAAGAAATACAATGAATTTTTTGTTCTGTTGAATACAAGATGTGATGTGAAGTGAAATAACGGAAAATGATATGAAGTGGTCTTTCGTGTTAACGATAAACAATAAATGGTTGAGTCGTAGGAAGGGCTCTGCGAAGCATTACATCTATTGATTGAATCCAATGTGTGTCACATCTAGACTACAGGCATATCCCGTCTAACACTATATACTGCACACACTATTGTGTTGTGTAATGCATTTGATTGAATCATATAAATATTATAGATATTATTCAATAAAATGCTTTATTAAATAAAACACTGTTTTAACCTAAAATAAAATATTTTCAGATAAAATATTTATTGTTTGGTTTAATATTTGTATTTTTATTCACTATTAAAGAAGTTTATTAAATCACTTCATTTCTTATCTATCGTGACATTACTATAAATATTTGAGCGATTTATACATAATCTTAACTTATTATCCATTTATCAAAATAAAAATTTATTCTTACTTATCGATGACATCAACGGATCGTTTTAAAGGAGTTAACAAATTGAATATAATGTCACGATATTATGGATTGAATGGAAAAAACAAACACAAAATGAAATGTTTTGTGAGTTATATAATGGAAAGTCTATTATAAAAGCGAAGGTCACGCAAATAGACTCAGACTGTAAACACCTTTGTATTTAAAAACCATAAAAATACATTTTTGGCATTTATTCACTTATTATCTAACATAATAGGAAAAATGAGTTACCATTACATCTGTTTCAATACAGACAGAAAAGGGAGAGAAATAAAAGTATCAAAACACTTGATATAAACTGTCAAAACATGTTAACCTTCATAAAACTCCCTCTTGTTATCAAAAAATAGTTGTTATTTAATCCGGTATATCATTCATACCTTTCGCTCATATAATAAATGTGAAAATTTTTTGTTGTCAAACAATTAATTCATTTTATTAAAATTAAATTTAAATAATACATTAATTCAATTGAAAGCATTTGAATGAATGAAAAGTAATCATAAGATGCACTTATTGTGTAACAAACTTAATATGAATAACATTTTAAAGCCATAAATTCATAATATTAGTTATCTATTATAAAATCTCAGTAATTTTTTAGTAACAATAATATAATAGTGATAAGAAAGTAATATACAGTATACACAGAGCTATAATAACCAAAACAAACCCATACCTTTACATTGATACTACCAAAGCGCATGTGTCAGCACTGTTGCACCCTTTTTCTGTTTGAAATACTGAACATCATTGGATCCACGCTTTTCACACATNTGCACCCTTTTTCTGTTTGAAATACTGAACATCATTGGATCCACGCTTTTCACACATGCGCTTTGGTAGTATCAATGTAAAGGTATGGGTTTGTTTTGGTTATTATAGCTCTGTGTATACTGTATAATAACATATTTTTTTGTAATAACAATTAACATTTACTAAATAATGCCATTAAATGTATATAAATATAAGTTGAATCGAAAGAGTAAAATAGACTTTTAAATAACATGCGAAATGACATCTAAAATACATTATATATTTAATAAAAGCTTATATAAAATGAATAGTCTGTGTGTTTAGTAATTTTCTATCCTAACTAAGATTACATATTCTGGTAATAAATATGAATGTCTTATATATTGAACGGTTAAGTCTTACGAAATAAATTAAATCATGGGCTCTAATAGTGTTTACAAATACAACTGTGAATTTACCCGCAGTTTGAAAACTAGTTAAATTGTAGTTAACATTGACGGCAAATGTATCATGGTTATATTTTGTGTTATGTGAAGACAATAGTATTGTTTGTAAACTAATTGTTAACTCAAACATCAATTCTATGATCGAGAAAATAACTGATAAACTAATTGTGAAGCAATGGATTTAAATTGATTGGGAGCTAAATATAAAGGTTTACATAAATTGTGTTCAGAGCTGTGGATAAATATCATAAAAAGATTAAATTACTTTTAAAAATACAATAACTTTTATCACTTTATATAATGAAGGAATCGATATAATGAGCCAATTGTTAGAAAATCATTCACTTCATTATACAACCACTTAATTACTGCTAAAATCACAATCAATTCATATAATGATCACATTCTTTCGTTTCTTAAGTTTCAGTATATTTTTACATTTAAGTATAGATAATCCAATGTATTCGCTATTACAGTAAAATACAGTGAAAGCTCGATTTAGTGTTTGAAAAGTTGGACGAGCAATCCTATAGCCGAACGATCCGATAAACCACATTATTCATATCTGAATTGTGGTTAAAAATAATTGTCTGATACCATAAAACACTATAATAGGCGTAAATATAGTCAAATGTAACCAAAATAGCAAGATTTTGGCTACTATATCAAATATTTACTATATCTAGATTAAATAGCATTACAGGTTAATATTATTAATACAGTGGCCGTCAAACAAAAAATTTTTTTACATTATATCGAGCTTTACTATATCGAGCTCTCACTGTATTAATAATATTAGTATTTCTTACCAAACATTTAATATTTAGTATCTGTAATATTTTGCAATGTTTTAAGACAAGATTTATAAATTAATTTTTGTTTTAGTTTACTCATTGCCCTTATCTTTGATATGTAATTATTTTTCTTCAATCAAAGATTTGTCTTTTAAATGAAAAGTTATATCAGTATTCGGAGAAGAGTCGCCGGAATCTAGCGCTCTGTCACTGATATCTGAATCAATTATTGAAAGACTTTTAAAACTATCTTTCGTGATATCAATTGAACTATCAATAGATTCTAATGACTTGTCGTCAATATTAAGGCTAAATTCAATTTCCTTAATTAAAGTATTGGTTTTCTTTGTATCAATTGGTGTTTCAGTAATAATTGACTCGACTTTAATTGGTTTCTCTTTAGACAAAGAGTTATCTTTAAAATCACTTGATTTGTCTAAAATGTGAGAATTTTCAGAATATTCTTCGATACCAATTGGCTTATCAATCATTTGGGGATTAATTGCCAATAATTCCTGTGCACTCTCTTTAGTGATATCGATAGAGCTCTTCCTGTCTATAGATTCTACAGACATATCGTGTGATTCTATGGTTTTATTACTATTTTCATTAATAGTCAAAGATTTGTCTTTATTTTGTATTTCTAATGGTATTTCAACAATATTAGGATTAACTATGTGTTGAGGTTTGCCATTATTATCACTGCCATTGTTATTAGATTCAATGTATTCGTCAACTTTTTCAGACAATGTTTGTGAGTCGACTATTTGTGGACTCTGTTTGTCATAATTAGTAACAATTTGAAAATTTGCCTCAAATTCTATCTGTTTTTGATCAAAATCAATGTTTTCTTTTACTTGATTTTTATCACTTTTTTCTGTGACACTCATAGAATTGTCGGCGGGTTTAGTGTTTGTTTGACTGTCATCTATATTATGACTGTCTTTCAGTGTAATATCACTGCTTTCGGAAACACTTAAAGACTTATCTTTAAGGGGTAACGATTTAGTGACACTATTGGGCGAAGTCTCCGATTGTTGTAAATTGCGATCTCTTTGATTATAAAGCGATTCGTTTGAATGGATTTGTATGAGTTCTTTATTCTCTGCATTACCTGTAATTGACAATTTGTATTTAGTTAATAAATTGTATATTATTTAGGCTTTAAATATATATATTTATGCTAAATAACAAAACGACAAATATTAAATAATTTTAATAATGGAAATAATATATACCACTTATGGGTGACTTTTCGACACTAAATCTTCTTTTAGTGTTTGCATTGCTTTCTTCATTCAAATTGATTTCCATTTTATTTATTTCATTTGAATCAAGTGTTTGTTGTTTTGTAATCTCTTTGTTAGGCACGGGATGTGCGGCCGCTTTTGCCGGCCCTTCAGAGCTATTAATTGCTTCACTTTTTGGATGAGATAACTGTTGGAGTGAAGACATCGATGTATTGTTTGTGTTTTTAGCATCAATTGGTGTTTTAGTAATAATTAACTCGACTTTAATTGGTTTCTCTTTAGACAATGAGTTATCTTTAGAATCACTTGATTTGTCTAAAATGTGAGAATTTTCAGAATATTCTTCGATACCAATTGGCTTATCAATCATTTGGGGATTAATTGCCAATAATTCCTGTGCACTCTCTTTAGTGATATCGATAGAGCTTTTCCTGTCTATAGATTCTACAAACATATCGTGTGATTCTATGGTTTTATCACTATTTTCATTAATAGTCAAAGATTTGTTTTTTAAATGAAAAGTTATATCAGTATTCAGAGACGAGTCGCCGGAATCTAGCGCTCTGTCACTGATATCTGAATCAAATGTTGAAATACTTTTAAAACTATCTTTCGTTATATCAATTGAACTATTGATAGATTCTAATGACTTGTCGTCAATATTAAAACCAAATTCAATTTCCTTATTCAAAGTATTGGTTTTCTTTGTATCAATTGGTGTTTCAGTAATAATTGACTCGACTTTATTTGGTTTCTCTTTAGACAATGAGTTATCTTTAATATCACTTGATTTGTCTAAAATGTGAGAATTTTCAGAATATTCTTCGATACCAATTGACTTATCAATCATTTGGGGATTAATTGCCAATAATTCCTGTGCACTCTCTTTAGTGATATTGATAGAGCTCTTCCTGTCTATAGATTCTACAGACATATCGTGTGATTCTATGGTTTTACCACTATTTTCATTAATAGTCAAAGATTTGTCTTTATTTTGTATTTCTAGTGGTATTTCAACAATATTGGGATTAACTATGTGTTGAGGTTTGTCATTATTATCACTGCCATTGTTATTAGATTCAATGTATTCGTCAACTTTTTCAAACAATGTTTGCGAGTCGACTATTGTTTGTGGACTCTGTTTGTCATAATTAGTAACAATTTGAGAATTTACCTCAAATTCTATCTGTTTTTGATCAAAATCAATGTTTTTTTTTACTTGAATTTTATCACTATTTTCTGTGACACTCATAGAATTGTCGGCGGGTTTAGTGTTTGTTTGACTGTCATCTATATTATGGCTGTCTTTTGGTGTAATATCACTGCTTTCGGAAACCCTTAAAGACTTATCTTTAAGGAGTAATGATTTAGTGACACTATTGGGCGAAGTCTCCGATTGCTGTAAATTGCGATCCCTTTGATTATAACACGATTCGTTTGAATGGATTTGAATGAATACTTCATTCTCGGCATTACCTGTAATTAACAATTTGTATTTAATTAGTAAATTGTAGGCAGTATATTATTTAGGCTTTTAAATATATGTATTTATGTTAAATAACAAAATGACAAATATTAAATAATTTTAATGCAAATAATAAATACCACTTATGGGTGACTTTTCGACACTAAATCTTCTTTTAGTGTTTGCATTGTTTTCTTCATTCAAATTGATTTCCATTTTATTTGTTTCATTTGAATCAAGTGTTTGTTGTTTTGTAATCTCATTGTTAGGCTTATTATGTGTGCTCTGTTTGACGTTATCTGATAGCACGGGATGTGCGGCCGCTTTTGCCGGCCCTTCAGAGCTATTAATTGCTTCACTTTTTGGATGAGATAACTGTTGGTGTGAAGACATCGATGAATTGTCTGTTTCAGTGATAATTGACTCGACGTTAATTAGTTTCTCTTCAGACAAAGAGTTATCTTTAATATCACTTAATTTGTCTAAAATGTGAGAATTTTCAGAATATTCTTCGATACCAATTGTCTTGTCAATTATTTGGGAATTAATTGCCAATAATTCCTGTGCACTCTCTTTGGTAATATCAATAGAGCTCTTCCTATCTATAGATTCTACAGACATATCGTGTGATTCTATGGTTTTACTACTATTTTCATTAATAGTCAAAGATTTGTCTTTTAACTGAAAAGTTATATCAGTATTCAGAGACGAGTCGCCGGAATCTAGCCCTCTGTCACTGATATCTGAATCAAATATTGAAATACTTTTAAAACTCTCTTTCGTTATATCAATTGAACTATCGATAGATTTTAATGATTTGTCGTCAACATTAAAACCAAATTCAATTTCCTTATTCAAAGTATTGGTTTTTTTTGTATCAATTGGTGTTTCAGTAATAATTGACTCGATTTTAATTGGTTTCTCTTTAGACAATGAGTTATCTTTAGAATCACTTGATTTGTCTAAATTGTGAGAATTTTCAGAATATTCTTCGATACCAATTGACTTATCAATCATTTGGGGATGAATTGTCAATAATTCCTGTGCACTCTCTTTAGTGATATCGATAGAGCTCTTTCTGTCTATAGATTCTACAAACATATCGTGTGATTCTATTGTGTTATCACTATTTTCAGTGATAGTCAAAGATTTGTCTTTGTTTTGTATTTCTAATGGTATTTCAACAATATTAGGACTAACTATATGTTGAGGTTTGCCATTATTATCACTGCCATTGTTATTAGATTCAAAGTATTCGTCAACTTTTTCAGACAATGTTTGCGAGTCGACTATTTGTGGACTCTGTTTGTCATAATTAGTAACAATTTGAGTATTTTTTTCAAAATCATTACTTTCTTTCACTTGATTTTCATCACTATTTTCTGTGACACTCATAGAATTGTCGGCGGGTTTAGTGTTTGTTTGACTGTCATCTATATTATGACTGACTTTTGGTGTAATATCACTGCTTTCGGAAACACTTAAAGACTTATCTTTAAGAGGTAACGATTTAGTGACACTATTGGGCAAAGTCTCCGATTGCTGTAAATTGCGATCTCTTTGATTATAAAGCGATTCGTTTGAATGGATTTGTATGAGTACTTCATTCTCGGCATTACCTGTTTTAACAATTTGTATTTAATTAGTAAATTGTATGCAATATTTTATTTAGGCTTTTAAATATATGTATTTATGTTAAATAACAAAAAATGACAAATATTAAATAATTTTAATGCAAATAATAAATACCACTTATGAGTGACATTTCGACACTAAATCTTCTTTTAGTGTTTGCATTGTTTTCTTCATTCAAATTGATTTCCATTTTATTTATTTCATTTGAATCAAGTGTTTGTTGTTTTGTAATCTCTTTGTTAGGCACGGGATGTGCGGCCGCTTTTGCCGGCTCTTCAGAGCTATTAATTGTTTCACTTTTTGGATGAGATAACTGTTGGTGTGAAGACATCGATGTATTGTTTGTGTTTTTAGCATCAATTGGTGTTTCAGTAATAATTGACTCGACTTTAATTGGTTTCTCTTCAGACAAAGAGTTATCTTTAGAATCACTTGATTTGTCTAAAATCTGAGAATTTTCAGAATATTCTTCGGGAACTATTGACTTATCAATCATTTGGGGATTGATTGCCGATAATTCTTTAATGTTATCGATAGAGATCTTTCTATCAATAGATTCTACAGACATAACATTAATATCATGTGATTCTATGGGTTTATCACTACTTTCAGTGGTAGTCAAAGATATGTCTTTGTTTTGTGTTTCTATTGAAATGTCAACAATATTATGGTTGACTAACTGTTGAGGTTTATCATTGTTATCGGATTTGATGTGTTCATCAAATGTTTCAGACATTGTGTCAGAACCGACTCTTTGCGGACTCTCTTTGTTATTATTAGTGATAATTTGTGAGCTTTTTTTAGTTTCAATCGGTTTCACATCAAAACCAGTGCTTTCTTTCAACTGAGTTTCAGAATCCTTTGCAGAAACACTTAATGTGTTATCTTTATTACTAATATCTGTTTCATTCTCAGCAAAAGTTTCCAAAGGTTTTTCTTTGACATCTTTGGTGATATTTAAAGAACTATATTCTGGTGACTTGTCCTCAACATTAAGGCTCAACAATACTTTTTCATTATATAAAGAATTGTCAATAGGTTTCGATTCTAACGTTTTGTCAATAGTATTAGGACTCACTTTCTCTTCAATTTTACCACTCTTTTCAGGAATATTATTGTTTGACTCAATCTGTTTCTCAGTTGTTTCAAACAATAAGTTCTTTTCTTTCGCAATAGAGATTTTGCGAAGATTTTCTTGAGTTTCAATTGGTTTGTCGTCAAAATCTGTGCTTTCTTTCAATTGATTTTCATCTGATTTCTCCTTATTTTTAATATCTATTTCAATCTCAGCAATAGTATGGCTGACATCCAAAGACACCTCTTTATCATCCTTAGAGACATTCAAAGAGATGTCTTTCGATTTGTTATCAGTGGTTAAATTGATTACTGACGGTGTTTCTTGACTATCCATAGAGATACTCGAAGATTCACTCAAAGATTTGTCAATTGTTTGATGTGTGGTTAGCGATGACTTTTCATCACTTTCTGTAGTAACACTCAAAGAATCAATTGGTTTGTCTGTAATGTCTTTACCATCACTAACAATATCAGACTCATTGTCCTTATTTGTGACATTTAATTGTATGTCCATTACATTAGGACTAACTTTTAATTGTTTTTCTTCATTCAAAGATTTGTCTTTAGTATCAATTATTTTGTCAATAATCAGAGACGAGTCGTCAGAATCTATAGCTCTGTCCGTAATATCGGAGTCAACTGTTGAGAGATTTTCAATACTATCTTTCGTGATATCAACCGAACTATCGATAGATTCTAATGACTTGTCGTCAACATTAAGGCTAAATTCAATTTCTTTATTCAAAGTATTGTTTGTGTTTTTTGCATCAATTGGTGTTTCATTAATAATTGACTCGACTTTAATTGGTTTCTCTTCAGACAAAGAGTTATCTTTAGAATCACTTGATTTGTCTAAAATCTGAGAATTTTCAGAATATTCTTCGGGAACTATTGACTTATCAATCATTTGGGGATTAATTGCCAATAATTCTTGTTCACTCTCTTTCCTGTTATCGATAGAGCTCTTCCTATCTATAGATTCTACAGACATATCGTGTGATTCTATGGTTTTATCACTATTTTCAGTAATAGTCAAAGATTTGTCTTTGTTTTGTATTTCTAATGGTATTTCAACAATATTAGGATTAACAATGTGTTGAGGTTTGTCATTATTATCACTGCCAGTGTTATTAGATTTAATGTGTTCAACTTTTTCAGACAATGTTTGCGAGTCGACTATTTGTGGACTCTGTTTGTCATAATTAGTAACAATTTGAGAATTTGCCTCAACTTCTATCTGTTTTGGATCAAAATCAATGGTTTCTTTCACTTGATTTTCATCACTTTTTTCTGTGACACTCATAAAACTGTCGGCGGGTTTAGTGTTTGTTTGACTGTCATCTATATTATGGCTGTCTTTCAGTGTATTATCACTGCTTTCGGAAACACTTAAAGACTTATCTTTAAGAGGTAACGATTTAGTGACACTATTGGGCGAAGTCTCCGATTGCTGTAAATTGCGATCCCTTTGATTCCAAAGCGATCCGTTTGAATGGATTTGTATGAGTACTTCATTCTCGGCATTACCTGTAATTAACAATTTGTATTTAATTAATAAATTGTATTACAATTGTACAGTATATTATTTAGGCTTTTAATATACATGTATGTATTTATGCTAAATAACAAATATTTAATAATTTAAATAATAAATACCACTTATGGGTGACTTTTCGACACTAAATCTTCTTTTAGTGTTCGCATTGTTTTCTTCATTCAAATTGATTTTCATTTTATTTGTTTCATTTGAATCAAGTGTTTGCGGTTTTGTAATCTCTTTGTTAGACTTATTATGTGTGCTCTGTTTGACGGTATCTGATGGCACGGGATGTGCGGCCGCTTTTGCCGGCCCTTTAGAGCTCTTAATTGCTTCACTTTTTGGATGAGATGACTGTTGATGTGAAGACTTTGATCCAATCCTTTCGTTAAGATTCGGGACTTTACTTTCGTTTGCATTGGAATCTAATGGCAAGTGTTTGGGCACTGGTTTCTTCTCAACTGTCGACTCCTGTGGCTTCGGTTTGGGTTTTAACCAAATCTTTCCCTCGGGTTTAGGAGTTGCAGCGATTGGAGCCGTTTTTGGCAATTTTTTCGGTTGTCTGTCAGCGGAACGAGAATCTAAAACATAAGCGAAAGACATGTTAAATCGAAAACCAAATGTTAATTATTTAGCAAAATATCTTACGTAAAGTTTGCGGCGATTTTGTGCGAACCGTTGCGTTAGTGGTGTTGTGTACTTGAGATCTGAGTGTCGGCGGAGCAGAACTTAAACATCTTTTACGGCCTGTTTTGGGGGCCGACGCGACTGCTCGACCGCTTCTCTCCTGTTTCTTCTCTTCGATGATCTTTTGAGTGGTCTCTAAGGCCAGTGCCTGAAGATTGCGGTCTCTGTGATAGTTATTCCATATCGAGCCCTGAGAGTAGATTTGGTTCAACCCTTCACTCGCCACCGGATGACCTAAATTCATAAATATTCAAACATATATTTAATTAATTAATTCAACTGAATTATAAATGTATGACATTAATGAATGAAATATTATGTAATTATATAAATATAGATTTTTAGTATAAGTTTTATTTATTAATTCTTGTGTTAGTATTTATTAATGATAATTAATGATTTTCTATGACCACTATTAATGTCTAATATTAATATAAACTTTTATTTTATTTTAAAATACTTTTAATATAAAGTGATTTTAAAATTTTTATTTATCGATTATCTATCATAAGAATCATTAAATATAAGTTATAAACTATTATAAATATTTTGTATATTCTGTATTGCGTTTACATTTATGTAATATTATTATTAATATTTGAGTCAATATATCTGAATAATAAAATAAAAAATATTATTATATGTATTCACTAATTGACTAAAACTTAATTATTAACACAAACTTTAGATAATTATTACTAAATCAATAGATAATAAAAATAGATGCAAATGATGTGAATGTGGATTGAATTGAAGTGCATTTAGAGTATAGAGAATACATTGAAATACAACTCACTCTCAATACTGTATTTAATCGTTTGATAATAAAAGAAACGCTTTATTAATGATTCAATTCTTCATTTAAGTGTCAAATGTTTTACTCCGATATTGAAAACACTTTTTATAAGAAAGTGTTGACAAAAGATTTGCTATCCTTCAGGAAAGCCTTTAATAAACAACGAGAAAAAAGCATTCGTTTGTAGCGTTCAGTCGATTAAATGAAAAAAAACTTATGTTTTAATGAATTTTCGTAATTCTTTTTAGACAATTGGATGAATAAATGAGATTACGATTGAGAGCACAGACACTAAACCCATACCTAATTGTGACCGAGTCTTGTAGTGATTGGCTTGTCTGCTGCGTTCCTCCACCTCTGAGTACCAGTTCTTCACTTTGTCCACCTCATCCATTGCGTCCACATTCTTGGGCTTTTTGAATCCATTGCCCGACACGTAAATGTATGCAGAAAATGGCCTAAACTTGGCGTTGTATTCACTTTTTTTGGTCTTCGGTTCGTGACTCGGAGCCGCATTTGATGTCTCTTCTGGTCTGTCGGCCACTTCACTCAAACTGGACATTGTTAATGACTTCTTCATTGTGTTCTCTACGGGAACCGCTTTCCCGGGAACTGTTGTCGTCTCAAACTCCTTGTGTTGAGTTTCTCTTGCATTCTTCGGCCAACCGAAGGATGACTTGTATTCTGATTGACTTAACTGTGAATATATTTGCAAATTAAAAAACAATTCACTTATTATTGAGAATGACTTACATTTTCTTCGGAGTAATTATTGTCGTTATTATTATTTGAGGAAATTTTATTCCAGGTATAGCTTTGCCGGTATTCAGTATCCGGTGCTAACGTGTCGTCCATATAATTATCATTAGGCTTCGGCTGATTGTCAATAACCGACGCCCTGTCTGTGGTGTTGGGTTGGCCTGAATTGGGCCGAGAATTGTGTATGAGATCATTGCTGTCTACACTCTTAACTGATTCAAAATCTGGTACTAATTTCCTGCGACCGACCATTGGATCTACAGTTTTAGAGTCAGAACTCAAAACACGTGTAACTACTGTAGGGAATGAGAAACGCAAACAGAATTCACTAAATAATAAGCATATATCAAAAAATCAATTCAATTCTCGATTAACATCTAGAATAACCAAATAGACGTATAAAACAAAACAAATAAAAGTGTATTTAATTATTTCATATGCTATCAGCGATTACTGGGAATGAATGGTTGAGTTTATACAACGAGAGTCTCTGCGAAGCCAATGCAGAGATATTGATTCCGGACTAATGCCGTCTCTTTCCATACACTATAGACACCGGTCTTTCTCACACATGTGTGGGACAAACAGCACACGCTCTCCACAGAACAATAACATTACATATAACTTATATAAGACAAAAAGTTTTGCTAATTTTATGTCAAAATGAATAAGAAAAAAAATCCATAAAAAATATTTTCTTGTTTAAATATAGCATAAAAATACATTAACAGAATATTTCACTTATTCATCAAAAATAAAATGCAAGACTTCTTATAGTTTTAAAAAGTCATTTCATATAAATGTTTCGATGAAATGCATGACAACCACAGGTCTCTAACGTCTAATAATAAGTTTCCTTTATATAAAATATATGAATCAAATTGTGTTCAATGTATACACAGTATTCATATTAATGTCATTTTAATAAAAGATATGCTATAAGAATAATACTGAAGTTATGCAATGAAAGTCTATTTTGATTTTTGCTATTAGAGTTGGTGTTATGTGTTATTTTGTGTTTTCATTACAATAACAGTACATTAATCACTTAAATTGTAAGCCATTGTAAATAATGTTATTACAAGGCATTAAAAACATAAATTATAATACTTGTGTTTCGGATTGCAATGAGGTTTTACTTATTGTAATAAATAATTAAATATTTTCTTGAAATTGTTATTTTGTTATTTTACAAAAAAAATAATTAATGGATAAATAAAGAATTCCTTGAGTTTTTGTAAAGAATATACTTAAGTGTCGTATTCTGCAAGAATTGTGCATATCTTTAGTAATAAGATATCACTACTAAATGAATAGATAATACGGTCGCTAATGTTGTAATATATTTAATGCAAACATTACTTAACAATATTATTTGCTCATAAATAGACACAGAATTGATGTCAATATATAAAAAACAAAGAACTGAAAATGCATTGAATTTTTAGTGCACTTAAAATAAATACTCATATATGAAAGAAAGGAAGCAAAAAGGAAATAGTTTTTTGAATCGCTTAACAACAATAAAATAGAGATGCAATCAATTTATACATTAAGTCTGAATGAATTCATAATATACTCACCGCTATTGTATGGCTGACTGTCGACTACCATTGGTTTCTTGTCGTCAAATTGTTTAATATTTCGAGTTTCGCTTAATATCTAAAATTAATTTTCACACAAATATTAGCAAATTTAGCAATAATTTAATTACATGTTTTCGTTAACAAAACACTTGTTTTGTAAATAAACCCGCAATAAATATTCAATTGAATCGATTTATGTGAGAAATTAAATCACAGTAAATAGTGTATGAAAACTCTTGTTATCGGAACAGAAAAGTCTCACAGAATATACAGCATAACTGTAAATGAAATATATTTTTACGTGTATTGATAGCAAAACAAAGTAAGAAAAAACCTATTTTCTCGTTCATCTGTCAGTATATCAATGGCACTAATAGTGTATTTATTCAGCCGTTTTAGTGTAAAGCGTGTTATTTTTGAAAGTCATTATTTCGAAAGCCATTTCCAGTATTGTATAATAAATATCATATCTCTGTCTCTCATAACAGCATTCAGTGATGCAAATTATTTCACAAAGAAATAACACTTTTTCAAAAATAGCGAATTATAATACAATTATTAATAAATAAAATGCATAATAATATTAGTCGTGAGCATTCATTGTTGTCAGCCAACTATCAAATTACTGGCAAATTAAACACTAAAAATCAATTTCAAGTTTTCTTTGCAAAAACTTATTTTTAGTTTTTAAATATTTTCAAAGAAATGATGACATTATTCCTCTATTCAAACATACAGTATATATAATTTGAATAAATTCAAGATTTAACAAACGATTTGATTCTGTCTTTTAGCAAATCAACACAATTATTATAATTAGAAAAATCCATTTTTGTGATTATTTTATGTTATTTTTATTATTCCTATTAAAATAATAGTAAATAAATTAACATTATTTTTACTATTTATTGAGACATTAATTTTTTTATTAACTAATTTATACGTAATGTTCGCAAATAAATGCAACAAATAATGTGTATTAAAAGTTAATTGATTTTAATGTCAACTCATTTTATATGTCAAATGTCTGAAAATGAATTCAAGTCTAAAATTACTTTCAATTCTCAACTGAAACCAATTGTTTGCTTAACTGTTACACGACTTGAGAGTTATAAATGTTAACTCAAATATAAGGCCTAAATTAAAATGCTATCAAATGGTGTAAAAAATTCTGTCTATAATGTCGAGTGTGACCCAAATTATACTCTAATTTAATGTTTTTTAATTGAAACTTTCGATAAATAGCACCTATGACAAAAACACACAATTATAATGTGACGTTTCATTGCATAGTAATTATTTAGTAAACAAAACCTATTGTAAGTTAAATGATAGATATGTCACACAAATCCTTAGGCGTCGTTCACAAAGTACGTGCGCACTTTTTCGAAAATCTAGACCCCCTCCCCCCCTTATGTTCGCACTTGTTCGCATGTAGTCATTTAAAAGAAAAGTACGTTCGCATGTCCCTATTACCCCCCC